TTGTTTTTTTCTAAATTATAAATGTCATTTGGGTAACCCGGGGCGGATGGTGGGGGGGTTAGTAAAACAACCCCCCCCCCCCCCCAAAAAAAAAAAAAAAAAAGTTTTTCGGAAGGTTTTTTTAATAAAATAAATAAAAATAAAATAAAACGTACCCCCCAATATAAGGGGTAGTAGAAATGGAAACATTTCCCGCATGTTCCTCTTCCACTCGTCCCACAATGTCCACACTTTCCTTCCATACCTGAAACTTGACTTGAAGAACCAATCCACAGCCTCATTGATAATCACTCCTCAAAACCCAGCCACCCAAGTCAAGTGAGTGACGTCCAGCGCACTCGACTTTTACATGACTTCGCCGCAAAGTTCCCTGTCACCGCTTTGGCTAGGTTTCGCTGGTTCTCACCACACCGCCGTTAACTAACATGACACAATCTCACAGCTTGCCGTACTTCTCCCTAGAGAACCTGACCTCCCCGTTCTCAAAAACCTGTGCAGACGTAAGCCGTCGGTCTCCTTTGCAGGCCCATATCAGTATATGTGGTCTGCTCTCTCCACGGCTGCAATGGGCCCGTCCCCTGGCGGGTGTTAGTGGCGTGGTATTCAGTAGCGCTACACTTGAGAACGTACTTGACCTTGATTGTGTCGGATTTATGTAGTCGTGGATATCTTAGGGCCAACGCCTCGAGGATGCCTGTGTATTTTGGATCGGCGTCGGTGCCCATCCAGGTGACTTGTATCGGGGGCCGAGCCACCGTTGCGTGTGCACGCGGGGAAGAGGGGTCCGCCTGGCTGCTTAGACCGCTGAAGGGAATAGCCGTAGAATGTGGAGACATGGGCGTAAAGGGCAAAGGGGCGGTTCGGCGACCGAGTGCTATCTGGCCAGCCCTGACAAAAAGGGCAGTACTCTGGCACTGTCGGGGAGCGTGGCGGCGAAGATGGCTGAGCAATTTAGGAGAGTCGAGGGAAGCCTTTCTCATGCTGGGTGTCTCACGCTGGGCCGCTTAGTTATCGGGGCTTTCTGTTGGCAAGCTGTAAATCAATCCTCTCCGACATTTTGAGGACAGGCCTACACTTATATAAGGATTCAAGTTTAGAGTGCTGAATAAGCAATCACACCGATCGCGTCCAACAGGAGTAAACACACACACACATGATGATTTCTAGCCATGTTTTGGACGATTGAAGAGCGGCAAGATATCAGTGATGCAACTCGTTATGTTGTGAAGACAGGCGGGAAAGGTTTATGGCCAATCACCTAGTCAAGATGGCGTTTGTGTAACCCACGCGGCCTTTGGTATTGAAAGGGGGCGAGAGCTCCCACAGAAGCTAGGAGGCCCTGCAAGTCCTGTGCATAGAAATATCGGCTCTTTTTTTCTGCATCTTAGACTTAGAAGAATCATAACCTTCTTCTTCTTCTTGCCTAGTCATCTTCCTCTTCCGATGATTAGCTAGCTTGACAGCTGGTTGGTTGGTTGTTGTTTTGTTTCCCCTTCAGGGGCAGCCCTTTTGCCCCGTTTCAGTATGGCGTGTTTACTACGCGGTTGTGTACTACGCGGTCAGGTAGCCGAATTCAGATCCAGCTGATTTGGGCCAAATCATTCGCATCCATTGGACCTAAAAGCCTGGACCTTTCTGCTGCCTTTCGTCTCGACATAATCACAACATCAAGTTAGTGGCCCTCAGGGAATGTTGGCGTACACTACACAAGAAGATGCTGCTCCGTTCCTTTTATTGGAGGTCGAGAATGACAACAGCGGGAAAGAACGTTTCTATGTGAAAGGCCAAGATCCAGTTGAGAGCCGTCATCTTTGCACAAGTCGTCCGGAAGAGAAACCGTGTGCCAAGACTACCACCGAGACAAACGGATCCACTCGGCTCGGCTCGGGGGGCTGGGGTCAAGGTGGCCCGGGCGGAGCTCCCCGACAGGATTTAAGCGACCATGCAGTATGCGCTAACCAAATCGGGGCCATGCAAGATGGCGGACGTCACGATGCACAAAATGGATCGTGTGACTTCTGTAATAAGGGTCTTGACGATTTTTGGGGCCACACTGGTCCCGGTTGATCAACAGGATTAGATGAATCTGCTTTGGAAGAAGAAATCCGGACTGCTTTTGGCTTCCGTTTTGTCCTCGTCGTCTTTGTCGTCATCGTCATCATCAGACAAGTTTCGCCTTGCCGTGTCTTCCGGCCCCCACACTGACACCTGGCGCCACTTGCCTGGGAGGGCGCGAGCCTCAAACAAAAACGCCCAGACATAAAACGCACAATCCACCACTCCTTTTCGTCTGTGCTCCGACCGCCAGACCGCCAGCCAGCATCTTCCATTTTTGAACACAATTATCTTTGTTGCCAGCAGCCAACTCCGACGTCGTGGTTTGTGACTGCTAACATCCAGGAAAACCAGCCCCCAAACGCTTGTTGTTCCACCCGACGTCCTCATCATGGCTCTCCTCGATGGCCTAAAGCCGGCTGGGGGGCCGGGGCCGACGCTTCTCGGCGTGCCCATGAAGCAGGCCTCGCTGATCACAGTACGCTGACCTGGCCTGGCCAAGGCTGTTTCGGAGACGAAGGACCCTCAATGCCCGTCATGCTAACAATGCGTTCTGCAGCTGACCTTCCAGAATTCCGCCCTCATTCTTGTACGTGACGCGCTCCTCCTTCGCGCCTCCCTCTCCGCGTCCAATCCCCTCAACCCGGCTCGAGATGTCCGACGCGGTGCTGACGCAATGGGCAATCCCTCGAATTAGATAATGCACTACTCGCGCATCATGCCCCCGAACGGCGACCATCGATATTTCGCCTCGACGGCCGTCTTCCTCAACGAGGTCATCAAGCTCGCCATCTCGCTCACCTTCGCGATATACGAGGTCTCGCAGAGTCTCGCCCCCCAGACGCCGGCGACGGTGCTGTTTGAGCAGATCTACAACTCGGTCTTCTCGGGAGACGGGTGGAAGCTGGCAATCCCCGCGGCCCTATACACACTCCAGAACACGCTGCAGTACGTGGCGCTGGGCAACCTCGACCCCGTGCACTTCCAGGTGCTGTACGAGCTCAAGGTAGGCCCAATCCTGGCGGCAGTTGAAGAGGCCAAGAGAGCCATGGCAGAGGAAGAATATCTGGTCAACCGGAACACGTGGAGCTGATACGGGGCCTACGTAGATCCTCGCAACGGCCTTCTTCTGCGTCGTCCTTCTCGGGCGGACGCTCGGGATCAGGCGCTGGCTCTCGCTCGTCATGCTCACCGTCGGCGTCGCCGTCGTGTCGATCCCGTCGTCGAACTCGGAGACCATGGTCATCCACGACACCAGCGACCACTTCTTCCCCCGGTCGATGCACGAGCTCGGCCAGATGGCCAACGGCATGGCAGATGTGGCGGCGGAGCTCACCAAGAGGGCTATCGGCGGTGGCGAGGAGCTCGCCAAGCGATCGGCGACGTACGAGGGCATCGCCGAGGACCTGGAGACGGGGCCGGTCATGAACTACTCGCTCGGCGTGACGGCCGTCCTAGTCGCCGCCGTGGTGTCGGCGCTAACCGGAGTCTATTTCGAGAAGGTCCTGAAGAATTCGCCCTCCCCCGTGTCGGTCTGGACGAGGAATCTCCAGCTGTCCTTCTACTCGCTCTTCCCGTCTCTGTTCATCGGCGTCATCTTCAAGGATGGGGCGGAAATTTCCAAGCATGGCTTCTTCGACGGCTATAACTGGGTTGTCTGGACCGCCATCGTGTTCCAGGCCGTTGGCGGTGTCCTCGCCTCGCTCTGCATCAACTATGCCGATAACATTGCCAAGAACTTTGCCACGAGCATCAGCATCGTCATCAGCTTTGTCTTCAGCGTGTGGTTCTTCAATTTCAACGTCTCGTTTACGGTAAGTCGCCGCTGCTGCAGCATACGCCGATCTCAACCCTCCCGGACGCCCATTGATTGACCCATGATCGTTCCAGTTCCTCGTCGGCACAACACTCGTACTCTTCGCGGCCTACCTTTACAGCGAGCCCGAGCGGAAGAGGGGCCGCCCGCCCCCAATCAACATCGTCAGCTACGAGAAGACCACCATCGACAGCACCCCGCGGGCCGTCCACGAGGGCAAGCTCAACCTCGACCCCGCCGAGTCACTCAAGAGCCTGGGCCTGGGACTCAGCACCTCGCGGCCGACGTCGCCGCTGCGCCATCACCCGCGCTCGCCATCGGCCAGGGGCAAGAAGTTTGATGACTAAGGCAATTTTATTTATTTATTTCTCATTCTTCCAGCATGGAGGTGGCAATCGGCGAGGCGCTTTGTGCAACCCCTGAGCGTCAAAGAAAGGAGGGGGGCGGGGACAATGATTGGAACTTGCATGCCAGCCGGCGTTTGCATTAAAACACGTAGTAGACAGTGATACCCAGCCGGGAAACGGCACGCCAAGGCGAAATGAGGGCTTGGGCGGTATATAACGACATGGGGGTGGGCCAAAGGTGGAAAGGGGCGGGGGTGGGGGGTTGAAGATTCGCTGGCAACCAACTGGTCGGTACCTCGTGTGTATATTCGTTCACGAGCGGTGTTGGAAATGGATTCCGCGCGATACACACTCTATGTGAGGCGAGACGTTGATCTTGGGCTGTTTGGCGTGGTCGGGATCGGAGATGAAAGATAACAGTCAACAGCTGTATATTATATTAGTATGCCCAACCGCGTTCCGTGTCGTATTGTTGGCAGTGTCTCTTCGAGCAGTCAGGCTGAGTTAACAAGGCCACCCTTGCAACCCCTTAGTTATTACTTCATCGAGTCTTATCGCTCATGGTGGCTATCCAGGCATCCCCAGCTTCCAGCACCTCGCCATGACCAGACCATTCCTGGCGTCGAGGGAGACTGCCGAGGCTTGGGGAAGATGATGGGCTTCAATGTTACAACAAATTAGAGTTTCGTGTCCCCGCCCACTAGGGCCTGACGATTTTCCTACGACAAGCTAAGAGGCTATTGAGTGGGCGGTGATGAGTTCTGATCAATTGCTGATTCTATGAGATAGTCAACGAGTTGCATGTAGAAAATACCACAGACTAGTCTCATTTCTAACCTGTAATTAACATTTCCATTCCAATACTTCACTTTGACGGAGGCCCATGTATTTCTTATCAGCTAAATGCTCTTCGGCTAAGAATGTAGCGTAACTAATATAGTGCCAACAACTCACAGCGCAGGTATACTTACCTACGATATGCGTGATTTGACACTTAATACAAGCCAAATTCAAGGTTGGTAGCCTCTAGCCTCTCTGTGTTGACTCTGGCGAGAGGCAATGTGAGTTGGGCCGGTTGAAACAGCTGAAGCAGGGAATGTACAGCAGGGAGCAACAAAGAGGACAACAAAAATGCCAAGTGACGTTAGACTCAGAGATTCTGATTCTGCTGCAGCCAACTTGCAATAGTCTCACTAAGTGAAGTTGCTGCATCCTTTGGAACTGTTTGAGGGAGTATGACGGTATTGGCATATTCACTGGGCTGATTTCGGCCCCTGTCCAAACTCCATTGGTGAATTTCGAATGGTAAGGCCGTAATGGATTAATGGCTCTCAATTCCAAGTGAGTATGTGGGCTTCTAACGCGCAGGTGTATTGTATTCCTTTGTCTAGGTAGTGAAGTTTGCTAAGGCCAACAGCTATATATATCTCTCTTTGCGGCCGTTCTGTGAGAATACTCCTTGTCTTCGAAACACCCAAACAGACCTTGGATGCCTTCTTAAGTACGACGCAGGATACAAGAACTTCGATCCTTCTCAGTTTTCCCTTCGAATCACTCATTTCAGCAACCCGAATTTTAGCATTGAAACTTACCGTCATTCGCAATGCATTTCGTCAGTCTCACCAGTCTTTTCGCTGCCGGCAGCATGGCTGCCACTGCCTCAGTCAGTGTCACCCCTCACGATATGTATTCGTCCTCGGTTGGCGTGCTGGGCTGCTACATCAACACCAACCGAGTCGCCTACTGGCCCGGCTCCGTCGACTGTAACAATATCTGCATCAAGCTCTCCTACGGCGGCCGCTCCGTCAACCTCCTGCGCATCGACCAGTCCGGTGGCGCGTACGACGTCAGCTACGACGCCTGGAACTACCTGTACACGGGCTTCTCGGCCAAGGACCAGCCCGCCGCCGGCGGTGCCATCGCCATGGACTACGTCGAGCAGCCGGCCAGCGCGTGTGCCGACCTGATCCACACGACCGGAGCCAAGCTCCCCCTGAGCGCCCCCAACAGCATGAACTACCTCTCCAGCTGCCTGGGCCAGGCTGACAGCTGGGTCGCCAACAACTACGTGCTCTACAACATCCTCAACCCGGTCTGCACTTGGGGCCACGACGAGACATGCACCCTCGACTGGCCCGCGCAGAATCAGGCCACGTGCCCTCACCAGCTGGGCGACCCGGCTGTCCTGAACTCGGCTCCGGTCTACAACATCCTCTACCCGACCGGCGAGGTTGTCAAGGCTAACTGAGAGGCGTGAGTCGGGAGCATGGTTCACGATATGGGATCGTGCTAGAGGCCTGGGGCTTCATCGGTTCGGAGAGTTGGAGATCCCCTGGATGATAGGGTTTGCGCAGGAACTGGAGGGGTAATCTTCAGTGTCGGGTTGTTTGCACTTCGCCTCAGCTCGCGTATTTGCTAGATAAATTCCAGAAGCCGCGTCTCGTCCACACAACCAGATGTCTCCAAACCGCCAAGTGTTGCTATCCTTTTCATCTTTAGTGGAGATTTCTTGTCCCTTTTTATTGCCTGGCAGTCAACATCATTTCAATTTCCTGCCCTCATAACTTACTCCTGCATGACTTACATAAGTCGTATTGAGAGTGGTTTGTAGGCAACGTATCCTCATTGGGGCTATATATTGAAGCGTACTGAAAAGGAAAGAAATGAAGGAATCCCTGCCAAAGATCCTGCGCCATTTTACTGCCAAAAATAGGCCTAAACTACATTCATCTCTGAGTGGCTCAACTGGTCCGCCCGCATACAATTGTCAATAAGTGGCTTGCGGCTGAGGAGGCCGCCTCTTCGCCAAATCTACACGCTGTTATGCGGGGTTGTTCTTCGGAGCCTCATCGCGGAAACCTTTGTCGGGCATCGCGGCCATTCGACATCTCGTAGGTTCTCACCTTGGGCCACAATGTCTTTATTTGCCTCAAACGTGATAACGGGCGACATAAGGAGGTACGTCTTGGTCCCTATTTTAGATTGCCCGGTTTAGGCGTTACTAACCGGGAGATAATTAGGTCATCGGATGACCTTTGGAAGGCAGCTGTCGGGACCTTGAGTGAAGACATGCGAAGTATTATAGACGTCAACCGAGGCGACAAGCGAGCCGTCCTCGAAACGGTGCTTTTCGAGGCGAAGAGACAGAGACAGCTGTGCTTGCGCAAACAATGGAAAATCACCAAACGAAACGGGGACGTCCTCATTCTGCGAGACGTGTTTGAGAAGATCATAACCTGGGTTGATAAGTTCAAGAAGGTTGGCGATGTGGCTATTCAGGCTGCTCCAAGCTATGCTGCCATTCCTTGGCAAGTGGTCGGGTTCTTACTCAAGGTTTGGCTTCCGCGTCGAGTCCGTTGGGTGTTTCGGAGCTAACCTGACAGAATCAAGGTCTCCATTGACAACAATGAAATATTCGCCGCTATGATCGATGGTCTGCAGACGGTAACCAATATCATCGCTCGGAATGCCATCTTCGAGGACGTGTATTTCCAGCAGGAAACGTCTGCCTCCCACCATCTAACATCGTCGCTGATTGCACTCTACGCATCCGTTCTCAAATTTCTGGGCGCTACACAACGATACTTCAGCGGAAATACCGCTGTACGCGTCATCAGATCCGTCTTTCAGTTGTCTGTTTCCGATTTGGAAGACGCTGTCGAAGAAATCGAGACCAAGCAGCGAGAGGTCGATCGGACAGCGCAGATCGCCGGAATGGAAATCCTCTATAACACTTCCACCGGCGTACACCAACTGACAGTCAGCACTGGATCCCTCACTTCCCAATTGGAGGCCCTCAGCTCCCAACTTGTTGGAGTTCAACCGGAACAAGACCTTGCCGCTGGATCTGCCACAATGAGGCAAGCTATTGCAGCCATTATGGGGCCCACACAGAGGATCCTCGAGGTGCTGAATCGTTGGGACGACTCGCTCGAGATCAAGGCCAGGGAAGACGCATTCGAGTGGCTTTCCCCGATCAAGTACAAGATGCACCACCGGACTGAGAGGAAGGACCGTCTCAGCCATTCGGGCGAATGGATGTTTCAAAGCGAAGAATACCGCAACTGGCAAAGCTCAAGTATCTCTGCGACATTGTGGCTGCATGGGATGCCTGGCTGTGGGAAGACTAAACTGGCGTGGGTCTTCCTTATGGCCTATAGAGGTGCTTCATAGCACATATCAACTAACCCAGCTCTTTCAGTTCCGCAGTCATAGACTACGAGCTTGAGAAGCAAGCCCTCGACCGCTCCCAATCCATCGAGCCCGCACCTTTTGCGTATTTCTACTGTTCTCGAAACAAGGCCGAACGGGAAAGGGCAGATCCCCACAAGATACTGCGCTGCATAGCTCGCCAACTCTGTGAAGACGATACATCTCTTCCCCTGGCTGATCATTTTCGCAACTTCTATGAGGCAATGGGCAGCCCCAAGTCGGGCGAGGATGAGCCCCCATCGGATCAGGTACTGGACCTGATTCTGCGCATGCTGTCCGAAAATCCAGCAACAATTGTCATCGACGCACTGGATGAGTGTGACCCTATTACTCGCTACCAGCTTTTCGAAAGCCTGGATAGAATCGTCAAGACATCCGCAAACGTCGTGAAAGTCTTTCTCACCAGCAGGAACGATGGTGACATCGTTTGCCGCCTCGAGACAACGCCCAATATCTACATCGATGCTCAGAAGAACAAGTCGGATATTGAGAGATTCGTATCCGCCGAGGTTCAGAAGGCGGTGAGCCAGAAACGACTCCTCAATGGCCACATCTCGAGCGACCTCCGGCACCAGATCTGTTCAACATTGGACCGTGAGGCCCAAGGCATGTAAGAGCTGCTCTCTGTCTCCTGTTTGGAACCGCACAATCTCACGTTAAGTTCGCCGACGACCGTATTAGGTTCCGATGGGTCAGTTTGCAGATTCAAAATCTGTCCGACCCGGGAAGGATGAAAGTCAAAGAGGACATCATTCACGAGCTGTCTCATCTGCCGAAAACCTTTTCCGATCTATACTCGATCGCATTCGACCAGATCACCAAGTTTGGCAACTCAAGCTTCAGGCTAGCACGGGCTTCTTTCCAACTGCTTATTGCTGCAGTTGTACCTTTGGGATGGACCAGTCTGCTTTTGCTCCTTTCTGTCCCTGAAAGCGGCATGGGCCGACCTGTCTCGAAGCAAGAGGTGCTGGATATAGCGTCAAACTTCCTAGAAGATGACAAGGGAACGGATCGGCCCAGGTTTGTGCATTCTTCTGCCAGAGAATACCTTGAAACCCGCTCCGAGTTCCATCCCGAGATGGCGAACGTGGAGACTAGCCGGATCTGTCTGGACAATATTCGATATTCCTCCTTTCCCAAAGCGTGTCACTATTCCTTCTTCTACCTTGGAGATCACCTTTCAGCAACGACTTCAGCCTCGCGACTTGCAGCCCGAGAGGCTCTGGACCGCTTCCTCGTCCAACCTTGCGCCGACGGCGGCAACGCAGAAGACGACCGTGTTCCGTCACTCTTCCGAAGCTGGCGGCGCTACTTCGAACACGTTCCCAGCCGCCGCAGGGGCGGAGACTCTAACTTGTCCTTGGTGGCCAAAACCCCTTCCCTAGCAGTCTGTGCGTGGGGCCTGGAAGAATATTTGGACCGGCTACCAGGATATGGGGACATCATCCAAAGACGATGGAAGCTAGAACATTGGGAGAACTGTGTAGTTGGCATTGATTCGTGCCAGAACAAGACAAGCCTCGAAATTGCAATTCTCTTCGACAGGCCACAGATCATCCGGCAGCTCCACTCACTCAATATCCTGCAACAATGCCGAGATACTTACAATTTCAGTGGCGACACGCTACTGCACCTGGCTGTGAGAAGAGGGAGTGTAGGAATGACGGAGGTGCTTTTAGATTGTGGTGCCAACCCCAATCTTCTCAACGTCGACGGCGAGCAAGAGGAGATATGTCGGTTTGGCACCATCGCGCCGCTAGCAATAACGCATGGTAGCAAGCGCTCCAAAACCTCCATGGGCTTCCGCGGACCGCGTGGTATCACCAGCCCATTCGCCATCTCCAACACCGGCCTCGCACCAGTGCATCTTACGGTTGACCGCCGGAATGGACTCGCCTGCTTGAGAGTTCTGCTCCAGTACGGTGCAGATCCCAACCTGCGCACCTCAAACGACAAGACGCCCCTGCAGTTGGCACTAGATGCCGGCCAGTACAGGAAGCCGTTTATAGAGGCACTTGTCGCGGCGGGTGCCGATGTGAATGCCGGGATCGAAGCTGGGCAAACAGTGTTGCATCTCGCGGCGGGAATGGGGCTCAGTGAGACAGTGATTTCGCTTCTTGCCGCAGGGGCCGATCCCACGATCAAGGATTGGTACCAGCAGACTCCCTACGATCTGGCCATGAGGTCCGGACGGAGAGCCACAGCCCAGCTTGTGCATTGTGGGTCGCATGTCGGGGGAGGCCACTTACAGGTACAGAACAACATTTATTATCATCGCCAAGGGCCTAACAGCACCCAAGACGTCGACACTCCTCAGGAGAAGTTATCCCAGCTGGTCATTGATGACTACGAATCTCCGGCCGCCCTGTCGCGCGTGCACTCGGACGGGCAGGCTGATGGCGACGATTTTTTTACTGCTGGTGTGCAACTCGAGGATTCAAACCCAGCATCTTCATCGGGTGGAAAGTCGAAGTCGAAACGAAGACATTTCTTCAAGAAGTTATTTCCCAGGCGCCGTCACGGGGAAGCGGCTGCATCTCAGGGAGCATCGTAAACGGCAGTATGAGTGTGCTTTGACGAGGAGAAGGTGAACGGGCTGCTTACTGGACGACGCTTCATTGCCCGGAATTAAGTTTAGAGACACGCCCACACCGAGGCAATTTGTTTCATGGACGCTATGTTTAGAGATGATGACTAAATGGTAATTCAGCGGGGTCATTGCGTTAATGCATGCCGAAACTCGGGTATATATCTGTACTACGTAGAAACCGTCTGTGTTCCGGCACAGAAACACAACAGCAACAACTCTCCCCTCTCCAGACCCCACCAACATCCAAACAAAACCTCACCCCCCAGCAACAGCAAAAATGAAGCTCTACTTCGCAAGCCACTGCTGCTCCCTGACCCCGCACATCGTGCTACAAGAGCTAGGCCTACCCTACGACCTCGTCCGCGTCGACATCCGCACGAAGCGCACCTCGGACGGCCGCGACTTCCTGACCGTGAACCCCAAGGGCTACGTGGCGGCGCTCGAGCTCTCCAGCGGCGACATCATCACCGAGTGTCCGGCCATCGTGCAGTACCTAGCCGACCTCTCCCCCTCGGCCAAGCTGGCCCCCGCCGCGGGCACCCTCGGCCGCGTGCGCCTGCAGGAGTGGCTCAGCTACATCAGCGGCGAGCTGCACGCGAGCCTGGCCCCGCTGTTCAACCCTGCGCTGCCCGAGGCGGCGCGCGACATCTTCACGGCCAAGGTCGCGGCCCGCCTGGCCGTCGTCGAGGCCGCCCTCGCGGCCGATAACAGGGAGTACCTCCTCGGCGACGACGTCGGCTTCACCGTCGCAGACGCGTTCCTGTTCGTCATCCTCGGCTGGCTGCCGCTTTTTAAGATCGACCTCGCGGCCTGGCCTCGCACCGCTGCGCTCGCGAGGCGCGTCGAGGCGAGGCCGTCGGTGGCTGCTGCGCTGGCGCGGGAGGCTGAGGCCCCGGAGGTCAAGTGATTTTGGGGTTATTTGTGATTTGGACCCACTCTTGTTGCGAACTGCGGTGGTATGGATCAGCAGAATGGATCAGCCTTGACGGACTTGCTTTAGGGCCTTACGGTCTTCTTTGTTTTGCAAATTCTGCTGGTTTCCTACAGTAATGGAAAACCACAGTAAAAACTCATCCCGGAAGGAAGCCGGTATTCAGGACTGGAACGGGCTAGGAGCTCAACCTCCAGACCCCCTGATGGAAGTATTTATATCCTTACTTCAGCCCATAGTTAGATCTTTTGGCCTTACGCTTCAGTTAATATAACCTCAGTGGCCTCACTTCTCAGTAGGGGTTAGATAGAAGGGGATTGTATGCGCCACCCTATTATAAAGTCACTATTTTAAGCACTTCGGCAGAAATGACTAGCTATGATTAGACCTTGTGACTATTGGTGTGACACTAGTGATGGTTAGAGTAGAATCGATATATCCGACTTAAAATCCTCAATCAATTACTCTGCCATTTTACTAGACAAAAATAGTCGTCCTCAAACGCTGAAGAGTAAGGTTGCATTGGTGTCTTTAATATTGATACAGTGATGGGAAGAAGGACAAAAAGGTCTGTCTGTGCTTGGGGAAGAGCAGAAGGTGCTTGGGAACCTGTTGCATAAGCTCTTCAATTAAAGCGCTAGGACGATTAGTTCAACATGTTGAACCTTAGGGCCCCATCCTAATCTTACAAACTGTCGACTAACAATCTGTCGACTAACAATCAAATCAGCCCCAAGCCCTTCGAGTGGTCAGCGCATAGCGCGGCAATGAAGTCGATGGGACCGAGAGCCGACGTCTAGTTGGGGGCATTTTATGATTTCCCTTGGTCGAATAAGAGCGTTTCAGAATTATGCGAAGTCTAGAGATCCGGGAACGACCAATCCGTACTTGGCCTTAAAATCATCGACGAGTTGTCATTCGACGAATCCTGTCCTTTCTTCTCAAGACCCGAAGCCCTTCTTTTGCCTAAACTCGAGTTCTGTGGTGAGTGTCGCGTCACACGGACTCTTCCAGTCTGCCAGACAGCAGCGGGCTAATCGACAATCCGATTTTTGACGAAGATCCAACCTCCTTGCCCCTGACCCGCGTTTCACGGCACTTGCCAATCTTTTTGGAACACCCATTTGCGCAGGTGGATAAATTCCGTGGTAACCCCCCTGACGCACCAAGGTCTGGTTGATCTGCAACGCGGAACAAGTCAAGGAAGCTGGGGAACTTCGATCTCATGACTGCAATGCCCTGGAATCCCGGTGCACTCCTGAAAATGTAGTATATATGGGGGGATATCCCCAAGGATGATGTCGCGCACAATCGAGTCGTAAGTTAAGACGGTTTAATATCAAGTCGGTTGCGCCCTAGTCACCACCTATTTAATTTTGTTAATTTCCGCCTCAAACATGGCTCCCACGCTGGCAGCCGTGCTGCCATACCTGCTGGCCCTGGCCACAGCACAGAAGATAGGGACGGCGATCCCGGAGGTGCACCCCAAGCTCGCGACGCAGTTCTGCACGACGGCGGGCGGGTGCGTGACCCGGCAGACGTCGCTGGTGACAGACGCGCTATCGCGGCCGTTCCACGCGGTCGGGCACCCGGAGGTGCCGTGCTCGCCGCTCAACCAGACGCTGTGCCCGGACGCGGCGACGTGCGCGCAGAACTGCGAGCTCGAGGGCGTGTCGTACGGCAGCATCGGCGTGCTGACGAGCGGGTCGGCCCTGACGATGCGGCAGTACCTGTTCAACGGCGACGAGTTCGCCTCGGTCAGCCCGCGCGTCTACCTGCTGGCCGAGGACGGGGAGAACTACGAGATGCTCAAGCTCGTCAACCAGGAGCTCACCTACGACGTCGACGTCTCGCAGCTGGGCTGCGGCATGAACGGCGCCCTGTACTTGTCCGAGATGGACGCCTCGGGCTCGCGCAGCGACCTCAACCCTGCCGGCGCAACGTACGGTACAGGGTACTGCGACGCACAGTGCTTCAATGTCACCTTCATCAACGGTCTGGTGAGTAAACAACTGCCCGTGGCTTCCCACACCAAACTGTCCAAGTCGCTGACCACTTATCCCCCCCTCTCCCGCAGCCCAACCTCAATAATTCCGGGTCATGTTGCAATGAGCTCGATATTTGGGAAGCGAATTCCATGGCAAATGTGTTCACGCCGCACACGTGCGGCGGCGTAGGCTCGTTCCTCTGCGCGGGCGACGAGTGCGGACGGGCCGGGGTCTGCGACAAGGACGGGTGCGGGCTCAACCCGTTCCGCAGCGGGTCCAAGGACTTCTACGGGCCGGGCAAGACGGTGGACACGTCCAAGCCGTTCACGGTGGTGACGCAGTTCTTGACGGCCGACAACACGTCGACGGGCGCGCTGTCGGAGATCCGGCGGCTGTACATCCAGGGCAACCGGCTGATCGAGAACGCGCCCGCGTCGGCGGCCGAGAAGGACCCCGGGACCATCACGCAGGACTTTTGCACGGCGGCCAACGCGTCCAGCTTCCTGCGGCTGGGCGGCCTGGAGGGCATGGGCGCGTCCATGGCCCGCGGCATGGTGCTCATCTTCAGCATCTGGAACTCGGACGGCGACTTTATGAACTGGCTCGACACGGGCAGCTCGGGCCCCTGCAGCGAGACGGCGGGCGACCCCAAGCTGATCGTCGCCGATAACCCGGAGGTGTCGGTCACGTTCTCGAATATCCGGTGGGGGGAGATCGGGTCCACGTTTAACGCGTCGGCGCCGGGTACGAGCTCCGCTTTCATCAAGGGTAATGCGCAGGCCGCGATGAGCGCGGCTGGGGGGCCTCGGATTGTTTCGGGGGTAGTCTGGGCTGCTGTGGGTGTTGTTCTGGGATACTTGCTTTGCTAGGGCGTGTATTATACGGGCGTTTGACCTGGGTGACAAGAGGGATTTCTTTGCAACCCCAGGAGACCACTATGCTTGCGGCGAGTCGAGTACTCACTAATTGCTAAGTCGAATATTGTTAAGTGGTGGGTGGATGGCGTCGGATTGTAACGTCTCGGGAATTGGCCAGGTGCGGCAGGCGTGCCCCCTATATATAGATGTTGGAGACAGACGACAGGCATGGAGTACAGATTAGATAATTTCTATCCTCTTGTTCGTTTTGGGGGCAAGTTCTGTAAATGGAGCAGGGAACAAGCCTGTAGCATGCTCGATCAAGACAGCTAGCAACCGGGAGGAACCTTGAACATGATATTTTAAGTGCCAACCCGCACGGAAATAGTCCAACCATTGGGACCGCGGGTCTGTTCACAGTCAGGTCATCAGCATGGTTCGTAGGTACTAGGAATTGACTGATCTTGGCCAGCAGATAAGTAACATTTTAGACTCTAGATTTTACATTCGCACGCTTTAGCATGGGGTATACACTCTAACTTTTACAATCCCTCCATACTCCAATATCAATTTTAAGACACCCGCAAGACACGACAGATCCAGTCCAGCAACAAGCCCTCCCCCTCACCCGTCCCCAGCCACAAGCCCAGTATCACTCCCTATTGGCATACGACACAGTAGTCGTGCGCGTCTGCACAATAGCCTTCTCGGAGCTCCCGTCACCGCGCCCATCCCAGCCATCCGAGCCCGAATCCTCGTGGGTACCGCTAGCGCCACCACGCTCCACCCTACGCGACCCATTGCCGGGCCCGCCCTCGGCCTCGACGACCGTCTCCAGCGGGTACATGCCGGCGTCGTCGAAGCGGCTGTACTTGCCGTGCCGGCCGCCCTGCAGCGCGGGCCCGCTGCCGAACGTCGGCGGCGCGCTCGGGTTCGATAGCCCGCCCGACGGCGCCGACTTGCTGCCGAGCAGGCGCGGGGCGATGTTGGTGATGAAGGGCTTGAGGGTCGGGAGGGAGCCGCATATGCACGAGAGGTTGGTTTCGGCGAGGCTGGTTTGTGTGGCGGAGGTTGTTAGGAGAGGCTCGAGTAAGGAGAATCAGATGCCGGGGGAAAACTCACATCCACAACAGTACAGGCCCTCCTCCCCACGACTGGTCTTCGTTTCCCATCGAGTTGATCAGGGCGAGGAGTCGCATGATGGACGTGAACACGGTACTGGAACGCAAGGAGGGTTAGTAACCAATGACCAGGCTCAACTAAACGGCCACGACGGCAACCTACATGGTACCGATGCTGAAAACCAGGACGAGGCCGATCTTCTGCCTCCTCGAGACATGCAACATCAAGACGATGGGGATGGGCACAGCCAGCACCAAGGCGTCGGTGACGGCGCCAAGAATGGCGGTGGCCTTGTAGACGGCCGGGCGGTCGACGCAGGTGGGATTCTCGATGGTGAGGTCCCAGGCGGCGGCGACGGGCCGGCACGGGAAGATGGTGGTGAACATGATGGCGACCGACGACCCGACGACGACGAACCCGACCGCCCACACCAGCATCTGGAACCAGCGCATCGGCGCCAGCCGCCGGTACAGCAGCAGCAGCGCCAGCTTGGCCCCGCACTGCACCGGGTTGTAGAGGATCGGCAGCTGGTACAGCGCCTCGACGAAGAGGAGGAACTTGGGAAGCGGCATCTCCCACCCGTGCGTCCCGTGGATGCCCCGGGCAAAGTCACCTGTGTGTCGGATCTGTTGTCAGAAACGAGGCGCAGGTTGGATGGGAGGAGGGGAAAATAGCAAGGAGAGAGAGAGAGAGATCAGACATACGTATTATCAAGCACTGGACGGTGAGAGAGAAGGCCTATTTGCGCAGAAAGAGACGTTAGTTAGATCCGCCATTGCTATGCTCCCCGACTCCAATCCGGTCTGCCGTGGAAAGGAAGGTCGCGGCTCGTTGTCGAGGGAGAGGTGGTTGTTTGTTCTTACGTAGGCGACGAATAAACAGCCTGTGACAGCAACCCAACCCAACCATCAGCGTCGTTCTAATAACATGGGAACCAGCAGACATGCATACCATCTTCTATCTGCACCCGCTTCTGGAGGATAAGCTTGACGTAGGCCCGCTGCAGCATGAACAGCAGGCAGAGGAAATTGCCGACGCCGAAGATGGCGTATGCCGCGACCACGCTGTTGCGCTGCGGGTTGTCAAAGTCGACCACGTAACCTGGAGGCGGCGGAATCGCAACAGGGACGCCATCCACGAAAAACGCGGCCATTTTCCTATTCCGGCTCTAGTGAGGCGGGTGGCATACGGCAGTGGCGTCTCCTAGGGCTTGTGGTGGCGGCTCAGGGGGAGTTTCGTCAAACTGACACAGACTGGCGGGAGTGCATCGATGAGGCTATTTGCTTGGCTCTTTTGGGGGGGTGTGCCTGCTCTCGAGAATTTGACGACCACTCAAACCCAAACTTCGGGAGATGGCCGGCATTTAAGAAGTCATTCTTTTTTTCGGATTTCTTGTTTGGTCCCGGCATCGCCGCCAAGGGGTTGAACGATCGGGATTTCTTCGGTACTGTGGACTGGAGCAGTATCAATCTGGCCGGGAATATTAGTCAAGCATGCATCAGAAAAATCTTCAATGCTTTGCGGGGGGATCAACTTGGGATTTTGCTTTTTCCATCCCGCTGGGTCCCCATTGCTATCAAAGACAAGGATGAGACCTCGGCTGTCCTCGTCTGAACTTGCCGTCTCTTGCGGCAGTGGGGACTCGATAGGAGCATCTTCTCCTTCTGCCAGAAGTGATCGTCACTTCAGGCTTCCGTTCTAGGTGAAGCCCGCAGGCGTATCCCGGTAAACCCACCGGCTTGCACTCGCCGTTGCAGACCTCACTTGCTTGGGGCCACGCTATTAGTAGGCGGACTTAACGCCCAGAACGACTCTACATATGTAATGAAACGCCCCCCACCCACTAGCCAGGTTCCCGATCCTTGGAAACCCACCGCCAGCAACGGGCGCAATGCGCCTCGAGCCGAGCCAGTCCGCCGCTGGCCTGCTTTCGAGTCCGCTAGTCTGCGGCATCTTCCCCTAGTCCAGGGGAAAATAGTGGAGGGCTTTTCGTCAACTCCTCAATTGCCGAGGGGATTCTGCCCACGGCCCCTGGGAATAAGAAAGGGCTTCAAGACTTTGTTCCGACTTGGTCCCGAAGGCAACTCTATCGTCATTCCTAGCAGAAGGACCGAATCCATAATAGCTTCCTGATCATCACGGGCAAATAATACCCAGAACCCACCTAGCACGGAGACCTGTCACAATGACCACCCTGGTGCCCAAGCCCCCATGCCCTGAGGCCGAGATCTTCACAAAGGTCGGCCTGCAATCGCAGGTCCTCGTCCCCGCCGACCCGGACTATGATGCCCGCGAGGACAGCTACTGGTCGAACAGCGCCAAGCTCAAGCCCGCATGCATTGTCCGGCCCCGGTCTGCCGAGGAGGTCGCCACAGCCGTCAAGGCCCTCGTCGCCGCCGGCCAGAAGTTCGCCGTCCGCAGCGGCGGCCACACCAACTGGGCCGGCGCGAATAACATCGCCGGCGGTGTCACCGTCGACCTCAGCCTGCTCAACGCCACCGCCTTCGACGCCGCCTCGGAGACGGCCACAATCGGGCCCGGCGCCCGGTGGCGCGAGGTCTACGCCGAGCTGCACAAGCACGGCCGCGCTGTGGCCGGCGGCCGCGAGGGCAACGTCGGCGTCGCGGGCCTGCTGCTGGGCGGCGGCAACACCTTCTTCACCGCGCGGCAGGGGTTCGCGTGCGACAACGTCGTCTCCTACGAGGTCGTGCTGGCCGACGGGCGCATCGTCACCGCCGACAAGGACAACCACGCCGACCTGTTCCGCGCGCTCAAGGGCGGGTCCAGCAACTTCGGAATTGTCACGAGCTTCCGCATGACCGCCATCAAGTGCGACCGCGTGTGGGGCGGCATGACATTCTTCCCCAAGCAGGTCATACCCGGCGCCATCGACGCGCTGACCAGCTTCATTGACAATGTGCCCGGCGACATCGACAGCAACCTTGTGTGCATCTTCACCCACATGCCCGATTTCAAGGACGTCGTCATCGCCACCCTGTACGCCAACGTCGGCGGCGTCGAGAAGGCACCTGCCTACGAGAAGTGGCTCGCCCTGCCCGAGATGCTCAACACTATCAAGATGACCAGCGTCTCCGAGATGGCGTTTGAGTATAACATCCCCTCTCACTACCAGTAAGTAGCCAACTCCCATTATCTCACTCTCGCAACCAAAAAGGACAAGGAGAAAAAAAACCATAAAGAGCCCTGACTCAACCCACCCCCAACAGCAACATCTGGTTCACAGCCAGCTTCAAGAACGACCCCCGCATCATCACCAAGGCATCCTCGCTCCACGACGCCCTCGTCGCATCCCTCAAGACCCTCATCCCCTCGGGCGACTTCATCACGCAGTGCCTCTTCCAGCCGCTTCCGCGCCTGTACGCGGCGCGGTCCGTGGCCGCCGGCGGCAACGCCATGGGCGTGGAGCGGCACGCGCACGACGGCGTGCTCTTCCTCGCCGTGGCCATGGTGCGCACGCCCGAGCAGGAGGCCGCCGCGCGCCCGCTCGTCGCGGACTGGGTGCGCGCCGTGCGGGACTTCGCGTCCACCATCGAGGGTGGGAATCTGGAGTGGGAGTACCTCAACTATGCGGATGCGAGCCAGGACCCGCTTGCTAGCTATGGAGTGGAGAATGTGAGGTTCCTGAAGGAGGTTGCTGTGAAGTATGACCCGCAAGAGGTGTTCCAGAAGCTGGTCCCGGGTGGGTTCAAGATCTCGGAGGTTAAGATTTGAGTGGGACTGCTGCGTGGCTATGGGAGTGTGGGCTGGGTCTCTCGACAGCAGTTACGGGTCGTCTAGGAATTACATTGTGAATTCTTGCCATACGCACCTTGAAGCCGTTTGAGGTGGTGACTGGATTTGTAGGGACTTGTATTCCATCGACTTAACCGTCGACAGATATGCTTCCTCTAAATCCCGTTCTTTGTTGTCCCCTCCCTCATCTGTAGCTGCAAATCCAGATCCGGGTTTATAATCTCTCAAGAATCGACCCCCTGTGTGTGCAATGTTACACACCAATGCCGATTGGAGAAGGAGAAGCAAGAGGGGTCGGACCATGTGGCAGCGAGTGGGTATGATTAACTGCGAGTTGTGATATATCATATTTGCAAGGATGCAGTTTTCCAACGGTCTGGAAATATTGAAACAAATCTCCTCACAGTGTGCTAGTTCCACCAATTGAATTGTGGTGGAGATACATCCCAGTATCCCTGAGAGGGGCTTGCCCGAATTCCGGCTGGCAGCGCGGCATGCCAGACAGGCGGCGGTCCTGCCAGACACAGGGAAACTCGAAGTCACCTCTCTATAGGTACTCTCTTAGGAGATACCAACATCATTTATAGTCATATACTCTTAACTTGCACACCTTGTGACAACTGTGGCTCAAACGATGATAACCTTTACACACCCGTTTCTTCTCGAAAACCTGCTATTTCTCTCCCTGGTTCGAGTGCGTCTTATCGGTGCTTCCCTTGGCAGCTCCATCTCCTTTTGCAGCTTTATCCCGAGCCACTTTGTCCTTGGCCATCTGACGTCTTTCATGGCATCAGCTCTACTGATCTAGAGGCTGTAGGCACAACGGAAGGAGAAGAACGTGAAGAGAGATGCAAACTTACTCTTTTTCCTTGATCCATTGGTTCTCCAATGCCTGTTCACGATCTGCCAAAGGGTTGGGATTCATATTGTTCGTTGTAGAGCCCACTTGTGGATCAATTAATTGTTTTAAAAGAGATGTAATGGGGAACTCTCTCATGTTGCGGTGCACATCCCTGTTGAAGAACTTGGCATGAGGGTGGCGCGAGTGGCGTGAGATGTCGCATGACTTAATGCGTCGTGACGTCAGAGTCGAACAGCGTAGAGCCAGCCACCCATCAGAGATCATATCATGCATGAAACCATCAGTGTCTATATAGAGTAATTATCTACTGTTGCGACATGATTCTACTTGTCTCGTCACGTAGTCAACTAACTAGTTCATACACAGGCAGCTGCGATGAGAAACGGTCTTGGTCAGCTTCGTCTATTCTTCGGGGATAGCCATAGCCATTTTTCCACAATAGAGACTACAAGTCGAATGAGACGGCCAAGCTGCTATAGAATTCCAGCTCACAATTGTGTAGGGAATAGTGATGTTTGTTGACATCCTAGATGTCATTGTGCTGGATGACTGCCTGAGCAGTGACTGAATAAAATGGCCAGGGATAGAGTAGACGACCGAGACTATAGAGGGCAATTTTAAGGTTCGGATACAGAGTTGTCCTCATCGAATTTCCACTGTCGGATACATAACTGACAAAGCAACGTTCAATAGGTACCTAGGTGGAAGTGAGGGTTCTAAGGGGTTTCACCACCGTTTCCCTTCATTTTTTTTTTTTTTTTTTTTTTTTTCCAGCAATCCGGACAGCGACACGACATTTTTGGCTTGGATTTATTTCCGTTCATTCCTTTCTCCTTCCCACTTTACCCCCTTACACAAACCCAACTCACACACTACCCCCCCTCAAACACAGATCCCACCGCAATCGTACCCCCCATTCTGCGGATCACAATCATCGCGCGGGTCATCAACACACGTCAACCCCCCCTCACACCTCACACCCGCGAACCCCCCGCAGAAAGTCGGCGTCACGCAGATCCCGGGTGCGTCGCAGGCCATCCCGCAGCCGCCGCTGAACGGGTCGTCGACGCAGATCTGCCCGGCCGGGCAATCCCTGGGCTGCACGCGGAACCCGCCGCAGGACTCGTATTTGCGGGTCGGTTCCGGCTTCGTCGTGGTCGTCTTCGTCGTCGGCGGCGGAGTCGACGGGCTGCCGCTGCGGCAGACGCCAGGGCAGTTCTCGCCGCGCGTGCAGGCCGTGTCGAGGCGCGAGCACGTCTGGCCCGTTGGGCACGGCGCGACCTTGAAGCCGCAGGGTCGGTCCTGCTTGCTTGCGCCGGCGAGGGCTGTGGTTGCGAGGAGGGAGAGGAGGGCTGTTGTGAGGAGGTTGGGGACGAACATTTTTGGGATTGAACGCAGATTTATTTACAATGTTCCCTTGTTATAGGTATTGTGGGTTGGACCGAGTGTTGCGTTGAGCGACTATGTCCGTGGGAAATCGACCATATTTGTACCTGAATCCGAGATCCGGTATCCAGGGATGCCCTTGCGTCACACTGACTCGGATAATATGGAAGACGTTGCGTCGGGACAAAAAGATCGCGGTGCTGACAGCCGTTTATCTAAAATTGGAACTCTCGATATTGCGCCAAGTAGCGGCACCACGACTCCGAATGGTAAAAACCCGGGTTAAAGGCTAGAACCTCCGCCGCAATGCCATCCCATTGGCTGGGCGCTGTGTTCTGACTTCAGACTCTTTAACGAAGATATCCTTCTTTGGCGATTTTCGAGCTAGTTCGTTTTTCGTTCCTCGAGTAGGGTGGCAATTGAACCCTCGCTTCCCTTGGAAAGGTCACATTGACGAGTTTTGACTTCGTATTGCTATCTCCTCAACGGCCCGCATTGGACCTGCATATCCTTAGACCATACATGGAACGGACCTTGTTGAGGTTGCCATTTCTCGTGCAACCATAGTTATCAACCAACTTTTTAAGCAGGAGTGTAAAGACATCTAGGTAGACGACCAGAAAGGCCAAAAGCGAAAGGCGGACCAATTAAATTGTGCCAACCACCATCTTGCCAAAACTGAGAGCACTCTTGGCTGCCTAACTTCTGCCCAATTCGGGTTTCGACAACAAGTCTCCATGAAAAGGTACATGAGGAGGGCAAGACTCTGGAAAGTGGCTGCAAAACACTGCCCTGTATAAGGTAGCCAGCACGCCTTCGCTTTGTTAGAGCCCAATGGAAAGACCTGGTGGGGCTGCCTGCATCTTCTACAGAGGGCCTCCTGCAGTAGTTCAGCTCATTTGGGCGAATCATGACGCTGTTATAGGTCTTGTCTGCCAAAGTGTCATTTAGCCCAGCTAGCTTGGTTGCTTCACGAGGCTCTATTTGCTCCTTCAGACAGTGGCCACCCAAACATGGGCGAACCAGTTCAGAATAAATATCCCGACGATGCGTCACCGATTGTCCCCCCTTTCCAGGTTCTTCCCACCATGTGGGATTTACGGGACGTGGTGTTGAAAAATTAGATTCCATTTCAGAGCAAATCTAGGCCGGTGACTTCAATTGCCCCTAGCACCACCTTCACTGCCTGATAATAACCAACCAACATTACTCTCAATCCCGACATTTCGCAGTCAGGCAATCTCAATGGGGAATAAGAAGAAGAAATTTTATGCGGTAGTCCGAGGACATATCAGTCCGGCCCTATGCTCATCCTGGTGAGTGTTTGTTGCCTCCATCGCAGAAGAGCCCCCCTTACCGACTCTGCAGGGCCATCACACACTCTCTTGTCGATGGTTACACAGACAACTGCCAACAAGGCTTCCGCACCTTCCACGAGGCCAAATCATTCCTGGAGGGCCAGGGTTGTCATGAGTTCTATTTTCTCGCCTGCTCGTCCGGGTCCGAACGCGCCCCCAAAAGGGGGGAGAGGTGCTACTACGTTGTCGCCAATGGCAGAAAGAAGGGCGTCTATCACAACTACACGTGAGTGACTGTCAGGATTCAGTCACAGGATCCTTTACCGGCGCTGACCTTTTCTCTGGCGCAGATATGGTGCGAGCCAGCAGGTTACGGGGTTCCCGCACGCTTGTCACAAGGCTTTCCGAAGTAGAGAAGGGGCGGAGAAGTTCATTGAAGAATATGAAATAGGGATGGCAACGTTGAACTTGGGGAAGGGGAAAGGTGCGGTAGGAGCGATGCTGCAGGGACTGAGCAAGACAGGGGGCGTGGGTCGGTCAGAACTTGCCGACTGTTGAGGAGCTTGGTCATTTCGACTTGACGTGCTTCACACTCTGTGAAACTAGTGTTTGAGTCAAACACTCTTCTCTGTCAATTCTGTCAAGTGACGGGCCTGTACCTAATTTACAGGCGGGAAGCATTGAGGCTCCCGGGGGTGCTCTCACGGAGTTGAACTCTATTAGTAGCCAACAGATCACGGTTCGGTCTGAAATTCATCCAGTTACGGAGCAGCGCCCCTCCCTCCATTCAATTACATGATGGATGTTTGGCCAAATGCACAGGTAAGACAGCACAATGTGAAGGTGCATTCCCTTAGCGTTGAGACTATCCATATTTCGACTCGGGGTCGGAGGCTTGAATCTTTTCCCCTTCCCTTGTTCTTCTTTTCTTTTTCTTTCCTTCCTTTTTTCGGACCGATAATTATGACAAGCAAGGTGGCATATCCCATGACCCGACTTTGTTCGCAGATGCACTCCCTTTTGCAGCCAAAATTGCAGGATTGTTGGCTGTTGCTGTAGGGGTTATTCGTTTCATGACCGTCCATGAGAATACAAACATCATTCCGTAGTATGACGGACCGATAGAGCCCATGTGAGGAAATTCATTTCCCTAATCGAGCAGCCCCTGCAGAATGACTGATGCAAAAAGGGAAGGTCACACACGCGTTGAACCAAACGAAGCAAACGCCACGATCGCACCATCTTCTCATCTTGCAGCAACTGGGACCCAATATGCCGTGGTTGGTTGATAGATCCGGCAATATGCCAGGATTACATGGGTGCCTGAGCAATTAAGCCTGAGTTGGGGACCAAAACCCCCACCACTGTGCCGCCTTGTCTCTCTACTCTGCATATGCTGTGTGATATCTGGGATTATAGGAAAACGTGTCGCCCATTAATTAGACAATTGCGTACGCGCCGCGAGGTATGATGTTATTAATTTACGCAAACTCGAGTCCGTGAAGTCGATTGACTTTCCCCTCACCTATATCAATCAGCCAGACACCTTGCCTTGGGGAATCCGAGAAATAATTATAAGCAGCTGCCTGCTCGCTCAATTGAACATTCCTCCCTAGGTAACCAGAAAGAACAATAAACAAGCATTGCCAATCCGAACCTGCCTGTTAATTAGCAAGAGGCCGACGTCATGGCCCCTCAAGTTTGGACATGGCTTGCTCTCCTCTCGGCTCTTTCCCTCCACACTGCGCTGGGAAGGGTGCACGAGCAGCTCGTTGCGGTGCCACAGGGGTGGTCTGCTGCGCCCTCTGTGAGCGCCCGGGGATTTGCAACCTTCACCATTGCGCTCAACACGGAGTTTGAGGGATTGGAGGAAAAGTTGCTGGACGTGTCGACTCCTGGCAGCCCTAACTATGGCAAATTCCTGGATAGAGAGGAAGTCGAAGCCCTTTTCCCGCCCCCGGATGACGCAGCTGCGAAGGTGGTTGCTTGGCTCGAGAAGAATGGCATCACCGATTATCGAGTCGACGGGGCATTTGTTGATTTCTCCGCGGATATTGGGACTACCAACACATTGTTGAAGGCATCGTACCAGCACTACAGCCACAGCGGAGGAGCCACCAAGCTTCGGACGCTGCAGTACTCGATCCCGGATGACCTGCAGAGTCAGATCGCCTTTGTTGACCCCGGCACGTTCTTCGGCCGTCCGCAACTCGCCCCAGTGGTCGCACCGTCGCGAACAAAGCGCAGCCCCCAGGAATCACCGTCCAAGTCAAAAGTTGACGCGTCTTGTCAGACATCTATCACGCCGTCGTGTCTGAAGCAGCTGTACAATGTTGGTGATTACAAGGCCGACCCTAAGTCCGGCAGCAAAATTGGCTTTGGAAGCTTCCTACAGGAGTCAGCTCTCTACGCCGACCTGGAGCAATTCGAGACGACCTTTGACATCCCGAGCCAGAACTTCACAAAGGTCATAATTGCGAATGCCACGAACAGCCAGGACCCGTCCTTCGGGGGCTACGGCGAGGCGAACCTCGATGTGCAAACCATCATTGGTGTTTCCCACCCGCTTCCGGTAACCGAGTTCCTTACTGGAGGATCGCCGTAAGTGGCCAGTTACTTCACACGCCTACCCTGAGGAAACCGGAGATGGTGGTGGCATATCAGGAACTAATTATCTTATCATTTGGATAGCCCCTTCATCCCGACCATTGGACAGCCCACCGATTCTGACAACCAGAACGAGCCTTACGTCCCATATTACCGGTTCCTGTTGTCCAAGAACAACTCGGAGCTGCCACAAGTCATCAGCAATTCGTACGGCGACCAGGAGGACGTAAGCCCGCCCTCATCCCGTGAAGCAGAATCCGTACCTCAGACTAACGAACTCCCCTCCTTTCCCCCCAAACCAGGGTGTCCCCGAGGACTACGCCAAGCTGACCTGCAACCTAATCGGCCTCCTCGGCCTCCGCGGCATAACCACCATCTTCTCCTCCGGCGACGGCGGTGTCGGCGGCGGCTGCCTAGCCCCCGACTTCAAAACGGTCGAGTTCATCGCCGACTTCCCAGCGACCTGCCCGTACGTGACCGCCATCGGCGGCACCTCGGACTCGGCGCCGGAGACTGCCTGGAACGAGAGCTCGGGCGGCTTCAGCCGGTATTTCGACCGGCCCTCGTGGCAGGACGCCACCGTCTCCGCCTACCTCGCCGACCACGTCTCCGCCGACACACACGCCTACTACGCGCCGTACGCCAACAACTTCTCGGGGCGCGCGTTCCCCGACGTGGCGGCGCACAGCCTGGACCCGGACTTTGCGATCGTCTACGACGGCGTGCTCGACCGCAGCGGCGGCACCAGCGCGTCGGCGCCCGTGTGGGCGGCCGTGGTGGGCCTGCTCAACGATGCGAGGCTGCGGGCGGGGAAGCCGCAGCTGGGGTGGCTGAACCCGCTGATCTACGGGGTCGCCAGGGACACGTTTGTGGACATCACCGAGGGGTACACGGTCGGGTGCCAGAGCAGCCGCAATGGGGCTGGGCTGGTGCCGGGGGCGAGGTGGAATGCTACTGCTGGGTGGGATCCTACCACTGGGTTTGGGACGCCGGATTTCCAGAAGCTGAAGGAGCTTGTTTTGACGCTGTAGAGGGAGGTGGCTTGTTTGACGGGCGAGATCTAGAGACTATCGGTTCAGCCTACAGCCTGCCATATAACTAGGCTCTTTTAGTAGCAGGGCTTCTTTCAATCAGACACTGCGGTAGTCATGAGGCAATACTAAACGGCAAGACAACGATGTCCTATGAATCTCGGGCCGCAATTCGTACCAGCTCGTAACTAAGTGGTTCCCCACCAGTCCACACAACCTTTGAGGATGTCACAAGTTATCAGCTGCCCATAGACAGAGAGCTAATTGTTCCCAGCCATATCTAGTTACTCTGTGAGATCTAAATGATAAGCTACCTGGATAATTAAACAGTCTATACGGATTACAAATGGAATATAGAAAACCGAATAAAGAATGAGGGATTCAATCAAAGCTCAACAGCGAACCGCACCCTCAGCCATTCTCCATACCGATAGAACAGAAATGGTATGGGGACGAACGCGAGGCACAAGAATCCCAAAAGACTGTTCCCCCAACCAAGCCCCAGATTCGCATAGAGAGGCGGCGCAGCGAGGCCCAAGAAGGCGCCCGAGATGTTCCTCACCACGCTATTCGCCGCGAGGGCCGAGGCCGCGCCCTGCGCGCCGAAGATGTCGACAAAGTACGTCTGGGCAGGCATCACGATGAAGAACGAGCCCAGGCCGATGAGAGAGGTGCCGAGGATCGGGACGATCCAGTGCGTGTGCGCCTGGGCTGACCAGCCATACCAGAAGAAGCCGACGGGAATGATCGGAGGCACCCAAATCATCAGCGGGAGGCGCATCTCGGGGCGGGGGGCGGCGCCATCGTTGTCGTCGTTGCCGCCGCGCTTCTTGTTCATCATCTTGTCGCTCAGCAGGCCGAAGAGCACGAGGCCGACGATCATGCCGATGCCCAGGCCCAAGTACGCCAGGCCGGAGACGCCGGGGCCGAAGCCGTACGTCTCCTCGAAGACGTCCGGGAACGTGGCGAAGAGGAGGAAGATGAGCCCGAACACGAAGGCGCCGTAGAGGGATAGCAGGAAGACGATGGGCGAGAAGATGAGCATCTTGGCAGGGCGTATGATGGCCCTGCCGAGGAGCTGGCGAGATGTGAGGCCCTTGTCTGTTCGGGCACGGAAGTCCTCTCCCGTGGCTTTTCTGAGGCGGGCTGCTTTCTTGCTGAGCAGTACTTCCTCGTTGGTCTCACGCATAACGAAGACGGCGATGAGGGAAAAGACACAAGCCTGGAGAACTGTGAGCGCTGGGTCCCTGCCCATGTATTATCCAAGACTCACCATGATGCAAATGATCCAGAACGTCCACCGCCAGCCGATGTACTCGGCAACGAAGCCACCGACGATGGGACCAACAACCTAAGAAGATAACTGTCAGCCCTTGTGCGCCACCGGGGATCTGCAATGCAACCCACTGGTCCTAGGAGAGGCCCCGTCCCATAGATAGCCATGGCCTTTCCTCGGTCCCTGGCAGGGATTACATCCGCCACGGTTCCGGCGCCGATCGTCAGGGGGGCCGAGGCGGCGGATCCGCAGAAGAAGCGGAAGACGAGAAACATGGTGATGTTCGTGCTCAGGGCACACCCGATGGTAAAGCCGATGTAGACGAGGTTGGCCAGGTGGTAGATGGGGAGGCGGCCGTACAGCTCCGACATGGGCGCGAGGATGAGGGGCCCGAACGAAAAGCCGAGTAGGTAGATGGTAACGGTCATGGTCCCCACGATGGAGCTGGTGACGTGGAATTCCTCGATCAGGAACGCTGCTCCTGGTGCGAACATGGTTGCCGCAAGGTTGCTTTGTGTGTCTATAGTCAGCGCCGGGGGGTCGTTCTCTTATGGCGTTCGAAAGCCTGGAATCGGAGGAGGGAGGGGTTCTCACGAGTACAGGGTGAAGGCGCTGACGAGGAGAACATGTGTCATCCGGAACGCCTTGGACCAGTTGCGAGGGTTTTTGGGGTCGTCCGGCCCATCCCAGGCCACGATGTGGGTGTCTTTCTCTCCTCCCTGCATCCCTTGCGCCGCCGTGTCTTCCGCAGTCTTGCCCAAGTCTTTGGCCGAATCTTGACACGACTCTGGATCATGCTCATCTGCCGTCGACCCTTTGAGTGGGACCTCCTCTAGCATGTTGGCAGATATGCGAACGTGTCTGATGGCGAGATTGTGTTGTTGGATGGAAAGGAAACGGGTCTAGCAGTGACGACTTTTGGTGAGGAATCCGAAGTGACCAAAGGCCTCCGGTTCATGATAGATGGCAGTGGGGGAAGTCTTATTTATTGAGTTAGTCGAGCACTTACAGTCCCCGGAAACGGGTTCTTCTTTACTGTGTTGCGGGCTGAATACGTCCGATCGTCCGACCATCCGACGCACCGACCCTCCGAATCCTCGTCCGAGAAAAGGGGGCACACAAGCTAATTTGGGAACGACGACTTGGTCCGTGATTCCTGTCACCGACCCTCCGGCTGGACCAAGGGCATCATCTAGGTTCCATTTCATTATTTGTTACAATCTCCTCCTCGGAGAGTGGAATCGCATGGTGTCGGCGGCATGATGTAAGTCTAGCCTGCGTCTGCAGGTCATGATAGGATTTGCGCAGTCGCCCACATCTATGGATTTCAACATAGGAATTGAACGTCACTCGTTTGCTTCTTCCAAGACCAGTTGGGAGGTCGTGGAACTGAGGTTGCTAAAAGGGGTTGCGAAGCTGGATCACACTAGCCTTAACCCAGGGCCCTTTCCCCGCCCTTCTTAAGGGTGTTTCGCCCTCGCCGTCCAAGTTTGGGAGGATCTAGCCAATGGGCGACCCCCGATTTTCTAGCTACTGGGATTTTCTAGGTATTGGACCACAGGCCCGATTTTCTAGTTATTGGACCACAGGCCCGATTTTCTAGTTATTGGACCACAGGCCCGATTTTCTAGTTATTGGACCATAGGCCCGATTTTCTAGTTATTGGACCATAGGCCCGATTTTCTAGTTATTGGACCACAGGCCCGATTTTCTAGTTATTGGACCACAGGCCCGATTTTCTAGTTATTGGACCACAAGCCCGATTTTCTAGTTATTGGACCACAAGCCCGATGTTCTAGGTATTGGACCACAAGCCCGATTTTCTAGCCATTGGGCGGCACACCCCGATCCTCTACTCATAGCGCTTACCCCTGGATTTTTTTACCATGACGTCCACTCCAAGTCTTATCGTTGACAAGGCAAGGAAGGTGTTGTAGTTGTTGTTTATTTCTCAACCATTTGAAATCAAAGAACTTGATCAATGTATCTAAACAATTGACCTGGCTAAAACGCCATTTATTACCTGCAAAATCATTGCCAACCGGCCAATTTCGGGGAGCAAGGGGCAGTTTGGCGCTGTTGGAGCCTCGAATGGTCGCCATGTGCAATCTGAGTGCACCAACAAAGAACAGGAACCCCTTGGAGGGGGATGCACTAGTGTGTGGGGAAGCGTCGTTGCGATACGCGGAGAACGGATTCCTAACTAGCGCTAAATAGGAAATTTTTTTTTCGTCGTGCATATATGCCGGGGTTGAGTAAGGCTGGCCTGTGCTCCTCAGAGCCTGCATACCTATCTATCTATGCACGACGAAAAAAAAATTTCCTGTTTAGTGCTAGTTTACACTGATCTCGGCTTTTGGCTGTTGACTGACAGCACCCAACCAAGTTTGCCATGCTGTACTGTGGCACAACGAGCACGCTATCGAGCCAAAAGAGAGCCACCCCGTCGTATCAGTATCTCTCGCAGATGTTTCTTGACTTCCATTGGCGCCTAACCTCCTTTTAAGTTCCATGCACCATTCGTTCACCCCAAGATCCTAGGTGGTAACCCCACCACCCTTGCCAGCCGAGCCACCCACGCCAGCCTACCTATCCCATCGTCTCCACTTTTCTTTTTGGACTGCATGGAAAAACCGTGTCTAAGCCGCCCTTATTCCCACTCAAGTGGCAGAGTGTCGCTCGACGTGCATGGAACTTCTCTTGCTGTTCCCTGGAGTGCGAGTATGATGCCCATTTCCTATCCATATTTAGTCAGTGTACATGTTCGGTGGTGTCGAACTCAAGCCACATCTTACCAAGGCAAGAGGCCGGAGGCTCCGAGCTATCCTCGGACCCAATTACAACAGCGCCAATGGTGTCGTATGGCCCTTCGCATTGGGCCTGCTCCAGCCAGCGCTGCAACATGGAGCCCGCCCCGGCACCCCCATCCTGACTAGGCGCAGCCATCACACAGGACTGGCTGTAGAGGGATTTGTCGAAGCGTGGAACAGAAGTGTACGTAGCTGTGCCTGAGCCGGGGTTCGTTGAGGAGGTTGGAGTCCGAGGCGAGTGATCAGGGCCCTGGCACAAACGTGTGAGTCTCTCTGGTAGAAAACATGCAGAGGGCGTGAGTGGCAAACATTGTGGCTGGTATGTATGGTGGTGATGCAGTTCCCGGACGACGACATGGCCCTTCGAGGCGGCAGTGGTCAAGTTGCAGAGTGGTGTTGTGCGTGAGGCAGGGGCCCGAAGAGCTCGAGGAATAGAACGATGGCTACAGTGTGTAGGTCACAAAGAAGAGATATATATGCTTGAGAAGGGAGGAGACAGAGAAGTGATGGCGGAAGAATATTAGCTATCGGGAGTGTCTTGGGGGCGGCATTTTATACACAAGGGACACACAGTTCCCATGGGTTGCCACAAATAAAACCGTCACCCTCAAGGATCTTTTGAGAATCTTTTGAGAACTTTAGCATGTCGCCAGGGAGCCGCATTGGCTGGTGGAACGTTGGTGGGGTCCACCAAGGAGGGGGCATTTTGTACTGACCGGGCGTGGTGGGAAGCTCATCAGCTTAGATCCGTTCAGCAAGTATACAATGCGTCCTGCTATCACACAGGTGTCTATGTACGGGTATCTGAATAGGAAATTGGACCGGGAATTCCAAGTTCAGGCACGATGATACTATAGATCTGGTTGCTTCTCAGTGTCAAACTGGGTCCAGGTGACGGAAGCCGAGCTTGTTCCAGACAGGTCAAAATCAGCACTTTGGCATTGATGTGCTTGCATGCGGGTTTTTAGCTATCTAAGACCGAACCATATCTTCAGGTATGTAAGCTGTTAGTTGGAAATTGGGTTTGGGATCTATTGGAAGGCTGCTGTCCGTGGTCGGAACTTTTGCGGACTTTTGGTCAGGACTTTTGCGATTTTCTGACAGACTCGCGTCTTTGGGCCACCAGCTTCCCTGTGCAAGCCACGTGATAATACCTACTCTCTGTGATAGATCATAGATGGGATACCTACCTTGCTGCCTGGCTCAGGGGCTTATGGCAGTGCATGACGCAAGGTCCTCCCAGGTGACCTTTTGCAAACTATTGTCCGTGGCATGGTGGCCTGCGTAATGCAAATCGCTTGCGGCAGGTTATCGGGAGAGATGACACACACCGTTAGCCGCCCTGAAGAGGAAGCCAGGCGAGCGAAGTACACATGTATTTCTAGGAACTTTTGCGGACTTTTTTTTGGCCTTCCAATCAAGTCAACGTGTGGCTACCTAGTCAGGCGAAAAGAAGGCGTTTGATAGGCTTATATGCACCATCGATTCAGGTGTAATGCAGTGTGATATGAATGTGATGTGGTGGCGCTGACCGACCGGGGGTGGGGGGCACACTTTGGGCACTTTGGGCACTTTTGCAACTCGGCTGTCTTGCCCGTTGGTTTATTTATTCCCAGGCCAAATCACTTCTGCCCAACGAGACTTGACACTGGCGACATCCAAACTTCAGTCTGCTAACATGGATAGCCATCTTTCCAATTCCTCAAGACATAACTGGATTGAACTGGCGCCGATCAGCTATCCCATGGAACCACCCCAACCCTTCGCAGGCCCTTCGCATGGCAATTTGGCAAGCACATTGGAACCCTGGTCCGCGTTTCCATATGATGGCGCGACGCGGGACAGTGACGCCTCTCGCCGACACCCAAGCCTGCAGACGACCAACCCAACGAAAACCCCATCACGAAGGTCAAAGTATGGACACTTGGATTGGGGAGGTCATCAGTCCGTGCTGAAGAGGCTATACCTTGATGAAAACAACAGTCTCCTCGAGACCATGCAGATTATGAAAGAGCAGCATTCATTTAATGCCTCGTAAGCTTTCCATTCCAGCTAGCCTGCAACTCCCCACTGACAGTGCCCACGAAGACAGAAGCTCTACAAGGACAAGTTCAAGGAATGGAATTGGCAGAAAAACCTGCCAGCGAGGCATGCTCACTTCATGACGGCCAAGGCAACGAAGAGGAAGAGGGAGGAAAAGAAGGATACCATATTCTTCTACGGGGGACAAACATGGACCAGTGAAAGAGCCGAGAGAACGCTCCTCCGTACGAAAAAAACACGGCTGGATGACGAGGTCATGGGTACGTATCATGCTCATCTTTACCGCGTTTGGTGTGGGATCGGGATCGTGATGGCTCAACGACCCGCAGATATGAACACGCCGGAAGGTGTACGCTATAAGACGCCTGACGCGTCGGTCGCATCACCAAAAACGGCTCTTGTCACTTCACCGGCCGAGGCTCCTCCTCAGTCACCTAGCCAAGCCCCGAGTCCGTCGCCCAGTCATATTTCAATTGTGTCGTCGAGCTCCAAGGCTTCAGACGAGTGTGTCTCCGGGTCGTCAGAGGCGTCTCTTACGGATGGCAAACTCTGGGAGGGCCACACTCGAAGTGACCTTCTCGCCATGTCGGACTCGGCACGGGTCCACATTGAACATCACAATCCAGAAGCTGCCGGGAAGCTTTTACTCAAGGTCCTGGCAGGTTACCGCCACATCCTTGGTCCTGCGCATGAGGACGCGACCGAAGTGGCGTATGCGGTGGCAAAGCTGTTTGCCGAGACTGGCCGCATAGCAGGAGCCGTCGAGATCATTGAGGATATGGCCCGCGAGCACGTTGAGAGGTTGGACTCTGAGCATAAGCGCACACAGCAGCATGTGCTTCGTACCTTCGAGCTTCTCAGGAGCTGGGATCGGCAAGTGGACGCTCTCGGCTTACTCGCACGTTCGAAGGAGCTGCTACAGACTATCCCGAGCCAGACCTGTTGCCGCCATCTCCGTTCACATGCAAGGGAACCGAATAGCAAAGACAGAGCGCCCGGGAGCTCTGGAAACGCTGCACAGATGACAATCGATAATTTGTTGGACCTGGTGAAGGAGAACTCCAGCCCTGCTAATCTCGACTTCGCACTGTTAGCTGCCCGACCACACGTCGCTGCCGGGAACGAGGCGGTCGAGAAATTGCTCAGAGCAGTCATACTGCAATGTTCTCCCCGTGGCGCCGTCCTCGATATTAAACGTCTAAAAGCCAGAGCCGAGTTTATAAACCTATACATGAATTTCGGCACCACTGACCACAATAATCGCGATTATGTGGGGTTATTGATGCGTTTCGAGGTGGATTTCGAGGTGGATTTCGAGGTAACATGCGCCATGCATAATGAATCGGGCTGGGATAGTTCCCAAACCCTCGAGGTGATAGAAATAGGCATGCAGCTCGCCGTCAATATGCTTAAGGGGGGGCATGGGTTCAAGGCCAGTAAGATGTTCCGCATAGTGGAGGAGAAGTCAGCTACACTGTTCGGCGCCTCCGTCGGCCGGACTATCTGGATCTTGATCTCCATCGGGCTGGCGTATCAAGAGCACACTGCCTGGGAGAAGGCACGGCCTTGGTTCCAACGCGCCCTGGGCCGCGTTATTGCCCTCTGGGGTCCTACGGACGGATTGGCCATGGCTCTCCAACGCGCACTGGGCAAACAACACTTTTCCGGCCTGTCGGGTGAAAGCCGGGCGTTGCCATTCAGCTCAATTCTTGGGATACCTCTGAGTATCACCGGCGGCCGACTTCACCTAGCCTGACTGCGCTCTGCAAGCATTTGGGGTCTTGAATTGGGAAACGAGATGTAATGGAAAATTGAAACAGGTCAAGGGTCACGGACACGAACACTTACGACGATATTTTGTGCACCGTGAAGCAACTTCCCCATAATTACTCTTGCAACAGGATGGAGATGTAGTATCCATGCGGGGCCGGGCTTAGCGCCCTGTTTCTGAGGCTAGCATCCACGGAGATGCCCACCAGGGAATGACTCAAAGCTTGTTCAGCCCCTTCTCCTCTTGCTGTTGGGGTAGTGTGTGTTGAACACGGACCAATCAAGGCACCTGTCGAGTTTCATCTCGAATGACGGAACGGCACAGACACTGCAATTAGCATGGGCGGGGCTCCACCCAGTGGCCCACGACAGCAATTGTCTCAAAATCCCATGGGAATCGAACAAATTCCCATCCCGATGGCATGGAAACCGACTTGTGTCATCCCATCGGCACCAGACAGACACGCGAGCATTTAAAGCCCTGCGCCTGTCCAATCACGGCTCGTTTCAGATGGGCGCCAACCCTGTCTGCGCCCCCCTCCCACCCCTGCCCGAGTTGCACCATGCGCTTAAGCTGCAGCGATCAGACGGCAGGTGTGCTGAGACAGGGTTCGCCGGATGTAGCAGGAACACGGAGGGCCGAGGGTCTTGACGAAACGGGAGCCAATTACGTCGCAGAGATTCTGGCTTCTGTGCAAGAGGCTCAAATAAAGATGCCTTTTCGCCCTCCTCCCTCTTCCTCCCAGCCTTGGCCCGCCACCCTCGGCAACCATCCTTCTTTCCTCGACGTCCTTTTTTTTTCGATTCTCCTAGAGGTCATTGCTGGTCAATCTTTGCACCTCACTCTAATCAACGCCCTTTCTACCTCTTATACCCTTCCAGTTGACCTTTAATTCCATCGGGAGTCGAGCATTGAGAACGCGAGCGAACCGTCCCACGTCCGGCAATACCTCCGCAGCCAGTTTCGAGGACCAGCCAAAAACACTCTCACTCTCACCCTCACACCCCCAATAAAACAAGGGGAAGACGAACAAGAAAAACACACAACCACCATGGGCCAGAACCTCTCAGACCTCAAAGTCGTGGACACGTCCAAGGACGTCCTCTCGCCAACAGACCGGAATGCCGACATCATCCTGGGCGTCATCTGGGCCAGCGCCTTCTACTCGTGCGCCATGATTTTCTGCGCCTGCACCCTCCTCAACCGGTGGAGCGGACCGAAGGGCGACCGCAGCGTGAACATATGCTCCGTGTTCGGAGCCTTTGTGTTATCCATAGCGTGGCCCGTCGTCCTCATACTGGTGAGGACGTGACGACAGCTACGGACTGGGTATATTTTGGATCCATTCGAAGCTGGGGAGGAGAAGGGGGAGGCGGAGTTGGAGGACACGGGTCGTGTCGGCGCCGCGTTGGTGATTCTTAACCTCGCTGTTGGGCGGCCGGACGACTGGTCGGATGGTCATGGCGGATCAGTTTTACCGCAGGGGCGTGGCTGCGGGTCTCAAGGGAGAGGCCAAGCCGCCGTTGCATTTCTCTTCATTTTTTCACGGGGTGGTCGCCGGGTTGTTGGACGAGCTGGACGAGCTGCACCGGCCACTGTCGCCTTGTCACCTGGTCGGCGGTTCCTGTTTCTCCGTCGACCACCAATTTCCGTGTCTACCTATCACACTGGTCTCTGGGGTGCTGGAACACATGGGCTGGATATGGCGGGCCATCTTCTACGCACCTAACTGGCCCGATAGGCACCAAAAAACACATGTAATACCTCCACAATCATACATGCATCGAAGGTGTGTGAGCGAACCGGGCCTCACCGATTCGCTCCCACCGTTTCTTAACCACAGACAGACCTGCTTGACCATCACTGCCGCATTTTGTTCCAATTTCACCCATGACTCTAGATTCCCGCCCTACATGCATAAACCCCACCGCCCTACGACCAAGGCATCGTGCATCCCCTGACATGCGACTCCCTAGCCAACTCAATGACCCTCAGCCCATCCCTCGCCGTCTCGGCCCGGACGCAGACCTCCGCCCTCCCGCGCACGGCGTCGGCGACGTTCTCGTAGTACCCCCGATACCACCCCGGCAGGCTCGGGTACTTGCCGACGTGCAGCCCGCTCGCGGCGTCGAGCGTCTGGCTCGCGGCGTCGAACTCACCCGTCGTCGACAGCGTGCCCCAGATGCGCGGGTCCTCGGCCCCGAAGTCGGGGTCCGTCGCAGGCTGGCCTGGCGACGCGATCGCCCTGGCTTCCTGCGGGCAGCTCCCGAACTGGAAAGAAAAGCGTTAGCTGGCCGTGAATCAACCCTGAAACAAAAATGAGAAATCGTTACCTTGACGTAAGACCCCCCCGTACCGCGGACAAAGAACTTGAGCTGGTCCTGCAAGGGCGTGACAATCGCCGTCTTCACCGTGACGAGCAGGTTCCGCTTCTCGCCGGCGTACTGCATCACGATCGTGAACGTGTCGTCGACGTCGCTGTCGACGCCGCGGTTGGACCGCAGGAACCCCGTCACGGACGCGGGCGTCCCGAAGAGCCGCAGCGCCTGGTCGACCGTGTGGGTGCCTTTTTATTCGTCCCCCAAGTCCGGTCAGCGGCCAGGCCTCGTCAGAAAGGGGGAAGGAAGGAAGCGAAAGGGAGCCTTACCTAGCCCAAAGGCCATGCCCTCGCCGGGCTGGTACTCCTTGCGCGTCCAGCCGGACACCCAGCTGGGCGACGGGAAGTCGAAGTGCAGCTGCGCGTCGCGGATGTCGCCCAGGGCGCCGCTGTTGACTAGGTGCTCCAGCGTCCGGAAGTCGCTGTCGAACCTCCGGTCTTTTTCGGCGAGTGTTTAGTCAGCTTTGAAACGGGAAGTCAAAATTTCAGGGTCATGACCATACTGTGGAAGACGGTCAGAACCTTCCCCTTTTCCTTCGCCAGAGCGATCAGCCTGTCTGCCGCAGCACTGGTGTTGACGAATGGTTTTTCGACCACAACTATTAATCGGGACATGGTCAGTTCATCTAGCTAGGCAAATTTGGTGCCCGAGACAATGCCATCCATACCATGCTTCCCCGCCTCCAGAGCCCTCTCGACGAACTCCTCATGGGACGGCGTGCAGACGACGACGAGCTCGATCTCGCCGTCGGAAAAGAACTCCTCCGGCGTCCGGTAGTGCTTGGCGCCGGGGAAGTCGACGGTGCAGTGGCCCCAGCCCGGGGCGTCGGAGGGACTGGCCGGATCCGGGGCGGGGGCTCGCTGCAGGAAGGCGTGCACGTGCAGCTCCGGGTTCGGCAGGATGAAGGGCAGGTGGAAGCACTTTGTCGAGAAGCCGTAGCCGACGATGCCTACCTTGATGGGGGTCGCCATGGCTCGCGAATTGCCTGTTCTGGAGCTGTCGTGGTGCGTTCGCTGGGATGTTCCGCTGGGATGTTCCGCTGGGTTGAGAGTTGAGGGGGTGGGTGCGTGGGCGGAGGGGATCAATGCCGGGCGAGATCTACTGATGCGACGTTCCAGTTTTACCGGCGTCGTGCCATTGGCCTGATTGTGTAGGGGAACAGGGGTTGCAATCCCTGATCCACCGTAAATCAGAACATGATCAAAACAGAATGCTAATTTACCTGGGGCATTCCTCGTGGAATATTGTGTGATTTTGGGATTGTCTCGAGCCACCTGTCGCCGTCGAACTGGATCGATATTGGTGTGCCGTGTCCCCAAATCTGAACGGATGGCTCCATGACTGAGGAACGCCACGGCGCACTGCAGCTGGCTTACAAAACACCCCTGACCCTAGCTTCATTCTGAACCCAAGGAAGGCACTGATGCTACTCCACATAAGTGGTTTACCTACTAGGTTCATAGAAGTCCCTCGGAACATAAACAATCCGTGCTTGGCGAGGCAATTGAATAACAGTTGAAAGAAATTCCGCAGCTTGATTGACTGTCAACTGGCAGCAGTTAAAGATTTGCATGTTAAGCGCAAGTGCGACCACATATTAGGACACAGGTTTGCAGCCTCTCCTGTCATCCCCTGTAGCTCATTGCGGCGAGCCACGAGACTTCCAGGCCAAATTTCATATACGCTACATGATTCTTTGAAAGATCTGAGGCAGGGGTAGGTCTCCTTGGTTCTCGTCGACCAAGATTCTGGTATGAGCGCATAACCAGGTGTGATTCGGCCAGGTTTGCCTGAGCCACCCAAGCAAGGAGCATTGAATGAGATGCGTTCAGAAAAACACCACGGTTATTACCGACAGAGGACTGTCTGGGTTCGGAAACCAGCCCAAGTTTTATCACCACTTTGATGGCAAGGCCTGGTAATGCCTGCTAGAAAATCCCCAACGCCTGTCACGCACAGACCACCCCAGGAGTGAAGGTCGCCCTGACAGCAGGGCTCTTGGAAACGGTTGTCCCTGAGCCCTGGAATGGTCCTAGCATTCAGCGATTAATTAATTTCCTATTCCATTCAAGATCGGTGACTTCCTTTAGAATAGCTACGGTTCATAGAACAAACCGTTATTGATCAATACGGCCGTTGTTGCTGCTTTTCGCCGTCGCACTCGATCTACAAAACCCCTGTGGTGGTTCTGCTCCTTGCCTATCACAGTTGCTTTCATTTTGGATGGATGGATGGCAACTTTACAACCCAGTTTTTTACTAATAGCCAAAACTAAGAACCAAAGAAACAAGATAAAACGAAAAGGTAGGTATGAGCAAGCATGCGAAGGCTACCATTAGGCTGCGGCCAAACCTCCTGGTTTGCGCCCGTAAACATATTTGTACTTGCAGTAGGTGTGGATGTTCCTGGTATTGCGCAATATCTTGCGCATGCTCATCAAGAACAGCTGATACTCTTCCTTGGACCATCCCAAGACAGTCGTGCATAAGAAGAGGGTGTAGCCTAGCCGCGGGGTTAATACGGGATAATACATGGTTGTATCAACCGGGAAGAATTAGTGGCTTTCCACGCAACTCACCTTCCATGTCGTTCTCCAGCGCCAGCTGTGAATAGCGTCCTACCTCAGCCAATTTTTTATCTGCAGTCCATCCACCAACAGGAGCCTGAACACGTCTGTGTTAAACGTCATGTCCGGGTTGATTAGACGTATTGTTTACTTACCTTGTAAGCAAACGCGTTGATATCCTCGAACCCGGCGGCCCTAATCCCCGTCTCTTGGATATTGTCCTCGATCACAGTGAAGCTATGGCCGAGTTTCTTGCCGGCCTCCTCGAACACAGAATTCCACAACTCTATGGTCTCGTCATTGGCCGTCCCATCATCGCAGTAGTACCGTGGGGCAAACTCGCCCGACTCAACATAGCCGCCGGGCTTGCAGCATCGGTAGGCCTCGCGGAACAGCGCTGGCCAGTCCTTGATGGCGCCGGTGAGGAATCGGATATGTACAAAATCGAACGTGTTGTCTGGCCAGGTCCACCGCTGGGTCGCATCGTCGATCTCGAATTTGACGTTGGGAGGCACCCAGACTGGCTATTAGTGGGGATTAGCAGCTCCTCGATTAGTAATACTAGCTCGGTCGAGGAGAGTACCTGTATTGGCGACAGATCCGTGCCTATCACTTCGACACTAGGATGCTCGTCACCGAAATCGCTATCGAAGGTGTTGCTTTAGTGGCTGGGCAAACTGAAGACGACCACGTTGTTATACAGAGTACCTACATTGCCCAGATTCCTGCAGTCCGGTAGGTCAGCAGTGAAACCACTTCCGGCAAGGCTAGTAGACAGCGTACCGTCACCAGTGCCTATATCGACCACTTTCTAGATGTTGGGACCCCATGTCAGCCGCCCGCGGGGAAAACCAAGATCATGTATATGAGGCGCATGCTCTCACCTGTATATCTTTCTTGATAGGGGCAAGGTGTAGTTTGCCATCAAGGAGAAGAGTGAGGTAGTGGTGCCTGGATACAAGCAGTAAATGGTCAGAAAAAGCCAAGGTCTGCCTCTAGACGCCTCTGTGTCTTACACAATGTCCAAGGATTCACTTTGCCGGTCGTCGTTGGGCGTAAAGTACTGCGTGTCATATCTCTCGCTGTGATACGTACGTCCATGGATAGTGCGGTACTCGAGAATGCTCGAGGACACAGAGGCTGCAGAGCTAGTACTACATCTCAGACCAGTCAGTTCCACGGCTGGTAATCAAGACCAGATCTGCGGGTCACTTGCGCATCACCGCTAAATACCGAGTCACTTCCGTCGTCGTCCTACGAAAAGGTTCGTCAGCTCGCAGTCCGTTCCGGAGGGACGGCTCGTCGTTTAAGATTGCTGTTGTTGAGCATTGGCCTACCTCGGGATGTTCAGCGGCAACCAGTGGCGCGGAGGGGTTAGTAGCGGTTGCCCCTGTCGCAATCGTGCTTTGGGCTGGCACGCTCGAGGGGCCCGAGGCTGGAGCCGGCGGGATCTCACTACCGGTACTGACCGCTGGTCTGGTGGAAGGCTTTTCTGCCATAGTTAGAAATTAAGGCGCGGGGCAAGTGAGAAGCTTCGAGGTACAAGGTTGTCGTTCCGGTGAATTTAGTTGAGGACCTAAGAACAAGGAAGAGAAAAGAACGAGCAGGGCGGGGTATGAGCCCCTACATGGTAACAAGGTAAGGTCACGATAAGTAATCGGAAGTGTCAGGTCATTTCCTGTACTCGCAGATATCTCGTCTTATATGAGGGTTTTTACGGCCGTGTTGGCCAGTTGCGCAACGTTCACCAATAGAAAAGAATGGAAGGTGTGGGGGCACGCCAACGATGCATTTCTTTCTTGCAGACCAACCAGTAAGCCCTCGCTTTTTGGAAGGGGGCAAGGATCTGTTATGCCGGGTTGGCATCCCGGCAGCCGCCTATGCCTATTTGGGTTCTAATTCTGCAACAGCGTTACGTGGAGAATAAGGAGTAATAGATCGACTTTTGAGTGGCATGATGTCCATAAACACGGCGAGTCTTTTCCCGGGACTTCGTGCTCTGCTTTTGTGCTCTTCACAGCAACCGCCCAGCTCCAGCTCTTGTGTAATGTCTGACAGCAAAGTCACCAAGCAGGCGACGCCAGACGTAAAAGCCTTGACTACCAGGTCCAAGGTCAGTGCGTACAACCACTTTGCTGTAGCCTGCAGCTTGTCGAATGGAGACTTGGGCTGGTTTCTCGCGCCGCCTGGCCACTGACCGCAAGGCAGGTCAATCATCGTCTAGACCATATGCTTCCATATGTCTTCAACCCCGCGTAAAACCTGGTGGCGCAGCATGATGCTAGTATGGTCCTCCTGCAACCTACGGCCCTTCGTAAAGTGGTGGCGGTCTGGCACCTAGGTGGACGATATTATGCTGAAGATGCCTCTGCTACCTAGGATGGAATGTCGCCGCGCTGGGTCTGTAGGTATGTGTCTCTAATTACTTCATGGGCAATGCAGGCAAACCCGCAACCCTTGCAAACCGCTAGAAAGAACTCTGGCAAATGAGCGAAAGGTTCCATCGTGGCAATCTCTGTGTTGGGACTTGCTAGCCTTCCGTGACCAACATTGAATCAAACGTGTTGCGGCGCGTGGTTGTGTCAAGTTCCAGGGTTAGGGGTAAGGGTGGCTAACGTTTCTGGCCAATCAATTAATCGATTCTACACCTGCTGGACACACAGACCACCTCCAGGAGTGAAGGTCTGCAGAGAGATCCCCCTTTTCCTGCCCATCTCCCATCTTGGTCACACAGGACACAAATCTAAACTCATAGTCTCAAGTCTTTCTTTCGTCTGCGAATTGCATTACCGTTATTTGCAACCATGCATCACCGTCATCCCACCCCCGCACCCCTGGATCCCCATTCCCCACTCCAGCCCCGACCCCCACCCCCGCATTTGGATGCCGATCCTCCCGCAATACCTCCGCTGCGACCGCGGTTCCACAGCATGGCTTAATGAACGTAAAAGACGACCATAGCCAAGCCGCTGGTCGCTTGGGACTGTCAATATCTGTCCATCGCTCTTGATCTCTCTTGCCAGAAAACTTCTTCTCTAGACACACAAGCCCCTTTTGGTTCTCAACACACCACACTTGCGCCCTGTTCGGCGGTTTCTTTCAACATGAAGTCGACATATAGCGTGTCACTTGCCGCCTTGGTCATCGCCTTGGTGGTGCGCCTCCTAATGGTCGGGCGACGGCCCAAGAACTATCCCCCGGGGCCTCCGACGTTGCCTATCATCGGGAACATTCACCAAGTGTGGCACTCCGTCAACATCCAAACTTCCCCCAGTCGCTGACTAGAGTTGGTTCACAGATGCCTTCCAGAGATGCTCACCTCCAATTTGAGAAGTGGGCACGCCAATATGGCCCTATTTACAGTCTCATCCTGGGCACCAAGACCCTGATTGTGCTGTCATCCGACAAGGCCGTGAAGGATTTGCTAGATAAGAGAAGTGGAAAATACTCCCATCGACAGAGCATGTACATTGGACAGGAGTTATGCAGTGGAAACCTACGCGTATTGATGATGGTGAGTTCAGAATAATGAATCTTTCATGTGGGAGATGTTGCTAATGTCTTCGCCCAGCAATATGACCAGCGATGGCGTACTGTGTGTTGAACCCTACCCAACAACCCCGGGCGTAAAATTGAGCTGCAACTGACTCGACACTAACCACTAACTAATTAGGCCCGGAAACTGATTCATGGACTCCTAAACGTGTCGGCCGCAAAGTCATATGTGCCCTACCAGGTACTCGAGAACAAACAGATGCTCCACGAGATGCTCACCCAGCCCGACCGATTTCTGCACCACATCCGGCGATACTCGAACGCGCTGACGACAAGCATGGTGTTTGGATGGCGGACGCCCACATACGAGGACGAGAAAATGAAGCAGCTATTCGATGGCTTCTCCGAGTTTGCCGAGATCAACCAGACCGGCACGGCGGCACTGATCGACTTTTTCCCGTGGTTGAGAAAGCTACCCGACTTCGTTCTCACGGCACAGAAGAAAGCCAAGGAGATGCACAAAAAAGAGAAGGCTCTGTACCGCAGCCACTGGCTGAAGGCAAAGGACGAAGTCCAGAGAGGCACCATCAAGCCTTGCTTTTGCGAGGATATGGCCGCAGCGCAGAAGGCGGAAGGGATTAGTGACGACCAGGCAGCCTACATCTCGGGGACCCTCCTCGAGGCCGGATCGGACACCACGTCAAGCACGCTGTACGCCTTTGTACAGGCCATGTTGGTGTTCCCGGAGGTCCAGAAGCGCGCCCACGAAGAGATCGATCGGGTGATTGGCCCTGACCGTATGCCAACCATGGAGGACGATGTAGACCTGCCGTACATCCGGGCGTGCATGAAGGAGTCGCTTCGCTGGATGCCGACGACAATTCTGGGCGCTGTGCCCCATGCAGTCACCCAGGACGACTGGTACGAGGGATATTTCATCCCCAAGGACGCCGGTGTCATGAACAACGTCTGGGCAATCCACATGGACCCCAAACGCCATGCTGACCCCCGAACCTTCGACCCCGAGCGGTACATCAATGACACCCAGACTCTGGCGGATTCCGCGGCGAACCCCGATGCCAGCAAGCGCGACCAGTTCACTTTCGGCGCCGGGCGCCGCATCTGCCCCGGCATCCACGTTGCCGAGCGGAGTCTCTTCCTCGGCATGTCTCGTATGCTGTGGGCCTTCAAGGTCGAGCCCGTTCTGGACCAGGACGGCAAGCCAATCATCCCGGATCACAACAAGCTGACGCAGGGATTCGTCTGCATGCCGGAGGAATTCCAAGCCAAGATTACGCCGAGGTCGCAGGCTAAGGCGGATCGGGTGATTCAGGAGTGGGAGGAGGCGGAGAGGGAATGCTTGGACCCTGAGACGAAGCAGTGGAAATACTCACCGGTGTTGGGAAGGAATGGTGAGAAGAAATGATGTACATTAGACATTACCTGAGGCCCTCGTTCAGGGTGGTGCGAATCCCCACGGGTCCGTGTAGTTGTAGTATTATTCATTCATAGGCAAGCTGGCATGCTTACATCTTACATCCCGTTTTTGCTTCTCCCAATTGGCTATCACATCATTCCCTGACTTTGCACCAACCCTGGCACCCGCATGACGTTGCTGGCTTTCTGTAAACATCCTGGTCAATCAGATGGGCTTTGGTGTTAATGACCCTTCTCCACTCTCCTCGGGTCTCCCAAGCGGCAACGACGTGCGGGGGTGTAAGTCGTAGTCCTGGCGAATAATTACCTCGATGTGCTCCCGACCCACCCCTTTCCCGCCTTCCCCCCACCACTACTCCGCTCACAGCGTGGGACTTGCTTGGGATGCCCAACAGGACACTATCACCCATAATCACTGCCTTAAATTACGCCAACTCTCACAACATCCTAATTCAACGCAAGCAGGGAAGTTTTGTCTCTCGTCAATCAATCCGTAAATATGTCACGCACCACCACCGCTCTCGTCCTCACAGCCATCAAGGGCCCCCTTGAGCTACGCGAAGTCCACCTCGACTCAATACGGCCCGACGAAGCTCTCGTAGAAATCCATGCCTCGGGCATCTGCCACACCGACATCTCGTGCGCCAACGGCATCCTGCCATGCGCGCCAGGCGCAGTGCTAGGCCATGAAGGTTCATTTCCTCGCCCCATCCCCACGCGACCATAACCCAGCAACACCCCCAATCTAACCCTCCCCCGTTCAAACAGGCGCAGGAATAGTCCTCGAAACAGGCTCCGCCGTAACCACAGTATCCAAAGGCGACAAGGTCCTCCTCTCCTTCTCGCACTGTGAATCCTGCGCCCTCTGCACCTCCGGCCACCCGGCCTACTGCCACGACTTCAACGTCCGCAACTTTGGCGGCAAGCGGCCCGACGGCACCAGCGCCCTGCTGCTGGACGACGCCGGCAAGACGCCCATGTTCAGCTCCTTCTTCGGCCAGAGCTCGTTTGCGCGCCACGCCCTCGTCCACCGCTCAAGCCTGGTGAAGGTGCCGCCCCACACGGACCTGGCGCTTTTCGCGCCGCTCGGGTGCGGCGTGCAGACGGGCGCCGGCGCCGTGCTCAACGTCCTAGACGTGCGGGAGGGGAGCACGCTGGCCGTGTTCGGGGTGGGGTCCGTGGGGATGAGCGCCGTCATGGCGGGCAAGCTGCGGAAGGCCCGGACGATCATCGCCGTGGATGTGCAGCCCGGCAGGCTGGAGCTGGCGAAGAGCCTTGGGGCCACGCATGCTGTGCTTGGGTCGGGGGACGTCGTGGCCGAGATACGGAAGATATGCCCGCCCGTGGGTGTGGATTTTGCGGTTGACTGCACCGGTATCACGGCCGTGATTGGAAGTATGGTTGAAGCGCTTGGCACGAGGGGGAGAGCTGCCACGGCTGGCGCGCCCGGGTTCGGATCTCGCGTCAGTCTGGATGTGATGGATCATCTCACCTATGGGAAGGAGTATGTCGGGTGCTGCGAAGGGGACAGTCTACCTTCTGAAGTGAGTAACCGCCGTCCAATCTCAGAGGGACATCATCATCGCCCTTTACTTTGGGAGATTTTACGGCTAGCTAACATGAACCTTCCGCCAGTTCATTCCTTACTTGATAGAGCTGCACGCAAAGGGCCAATTGCCCCTGGAGAAGCTCATTACGTTCTACGACGTCAAGGACTACGAGAAAGCTATTCGTGATAGCGAAACTGGGGTAACACTCAAAGCTGTGCTGAAGTGGGAATGATTGACGGCATGTTGCACGAAGTTGTGTGGAATTATACGAACACAATTATATCTATTTATGCTTTTACTCGGCACCTCCGTAGGGGCAGGGACCTGCCGACACTAATGCCGCTACCCGACCCACATCGGGAGTGGAGGTGGGAGGCATCGGAGTGGGGGGTGGGATGATTAGGTGCAGCGGAGCGGAGGTGAGATAGAGTGGAGGCCAGTTGGAGTCTCCGGTGGGAGCTAATTATAACCAATCTGCAATCAGGGAATTCAGGCCATGGTCAGTCGTGACTAATTGATCCTCCCAAGCTTGGATGGGGAGAGTCTTGGGTCATTGTTTTCACGGTTGCTTTGTAATTATATGCTTCGCCTTTTGGGCTTGGTTGTGATTATCGTACAGTACATACATACATTCCACCCCGTTAACACCCCCATTTGGTATCATCCGGACATATATAAATCATGATGAGCACACCCGACCGCCTTGCCCTGATAATCATTGTGCGTCAATCTTCGTTCGGGTGTAGTTGGACCTTCTGAAACTCGCTTATAAGCTCGTTGACTTGCCGCATACTTGTCTGATCGTACTGCTTTAGAATCCGATCGGGGGTTGCCGTGCCTGGCGAGGACAGCGGCAACTCGGTCTGGTTCCCCGTCCAGGAGCTCTCATGTCGCGGCCATGGATCTTCACGTGTCAGCCGGCCCATGATGGCGCTCGCCAGCAACCAGAACTCGGGAGCATGGCGCATGAACCCGATCCGTCTCCACGCATTTTCCGGTGTCAGGGGCATATCTCTAGCGAGCATTGCGTGTGGAGGAACCGATGAGAATTTGCTGGAGTAGAATTCCCAGATGGACTTCCAGTTACTCAGAGCGTTCCGAATCGACACCAAGTGGCCGTCTCCTCCAAACGAGTTTTGATGCTGGAAGATGAGAGAGTGGAAAGCTGCATCATCGCAAGTCAACTAAGATGAGCAAAAAAGGAAAAGAAAAAAAAAAGACATGGCATGTCCCACTCACCCGATACAACGGCGAAGAGATTGAGCGGACCCATATCAGCAAGGCTCTGATGCATATCTTCACTCATCCCGCCTTTGCAGACCATCTCTACTGCTTCGCGGAGCGTCAAGGTAGATACGAAGGGTGACCTGGAAGACCATTTCTTTATTTCTTCAAGGCACTCCTCTGCCGTCCCCGCTTGGAAACAAGCTTCAGGACGGGCAAGGTGCATCTTCATCTCCTTAATCACCGTTCGGGGCGGGAGATTGTTGAATATGACAAACGCGTGGTCGAGAAGGAATATCCAGAGGAACGTTCTTCCAAAGGTGTCAGTGAACTGCGACAGAACAGTATCGGCCCACGGAGTCTTACCGGATCAGTTCTTCCTTCGCGGCGAAACTCTTCCACTCGAATTCGCAGCCAATCTGCTTGCTGTGGTCCTGGTGTCTCGCAGACGAAAGTCCAATATCTCGAGCAACCTGCTCTCGAGGGTTAGTGAAACTCTTGGTAGGAAGAGGGGTGTTTAATCAAGACAGTACCGAGACGACGGTGCTGTACCGAAAGCGGCGAATCCGTCGCTTGCTGGTATCAGTGCCTTCCCAGTTCTGGTAGAGGCAGACGATGTATGCAGCCTGAAGGGCCTGAACCTTGCGTCTTTGAGTGGCAGGGATCAAAATGCCGGTATCCCAGGTGTAGAGCGGCTCGGAACAGAGATCGTCGTCGCTGAACACCATCTCCTCTACACAGTTGAACCATGCCTTGGCATGTTCTTTGTCGACGGGGTCGGGGGACATTGATGCACCTGTTCTCTGTTGGTTATTCTGTCTTTTTGTCTTCCCAGTTAATCCAGGGACAAATTAATTAGATGCTCACCTATTACTGCCATAGCAGCAAGGAGGATCGACTTGGAAGTGGACGGATCGAATGTTGGTCGGTGGACGAAGTTGACATTGGGATGCCATATACTCCAATACAAGGCAAGGAACCTTCGAACATTATTCGGCGAGAAGAAATCGAGGCATTTCTGCTCCAACAGAGGCGACCACTCCACCGTTACTGCGCTGTTCCGTGGCTTGGCTATCACTACCTCTCTTGCGCGAACGACGATTTGATGGACCTTGATCATCAGGGGATCGTGAAGCCACGAGTTGCGAATAGGGGGAGCGGGTATGACGGACACGGCTGGAACCAGGCTGTCTGATAATACCGGGACAGTCACAACATCCGCATAGCCCGTGAGGGTCGCCGTGGGGGTGGATGGTTCACCCCCTACCTGCTGCTGCTGCTGAAGGAAGGCCGAAAGGGTCTGTTCTCGCAACGCCGGCGTTCCGCAGTCGAAGGACTGAATCAACCCAGTCCGGCTGGTGAAGTTGTGCAAGAACTTGAACGAGTAGCTCACGTTCTCGGCCTGCTTCTGAGTAGCAAGCTCCCGATGCGACGGCCCATCCGACACAGGGACGTCGGACATGAGGTTCAGAAAATCCAGCCAGCTCGCGTTGGTGCTCGTCGTGTCCGGGAAGTCCAACTCGGAGGGGTTGCCGAAGATGACAGCGCTGAGGTCCTCAAAGGCAGTAGCGCCTGCGCCGGCCGGGCTGGGGTCGTCAACGCTGGATATCGTCATGCCCTCAGTCCACGACTCGCTCTCGCCCTCGACTTGGACGCCGGACCGAGATATATGGTCGTCACGTCCCTCCCCGGAATTTGCCGTGGCGAAGGAATATGTGCAAGGGACAGACAGCCTCTCGCAGTTCTGACACTGTTGGGTTGAGGTGCATGCCTTCTTCTGTCGAACGCACAGGTCACAAGCTCGCCTCCTAGCGGATGGGGCCATCAAGCCCTTAGCCCTGGCCTCACAGGTCCGGGCATGGCGGTTCAGCACGTCATGCCGCTGAAAGGTCCTGCTGCACTGGCTACACCGGTAGGGTCGGGATGTCCCGTGGGAGGTCCAATGTCGCTGTAGATGCTCCCGCCGCTTGTACCGCTTGGAACACACCGGGCACTGGTGGAGCTCTTGGTTTTCTGACATGTCCTGAACTAGCCTTTCTAGCAAGCTCGAGGTTATGTGGTACTGGAAGGGACCCGAGAATCGGGATCGTGGGCAAAGAAAGATTCTAGATTCAATTACGGACTACTGTGGATAGTTCTGGGGCCCGCTATGCCTCTACGAATTGAAGAGGGATGCTGATCTTGACAAGCTTACCATTGGCCCGGCTTGTGCACCATCGCAAGCGGGGTAAGTGGGTCCCCGTGGGGAAAGAATAACCGATCCCATCTGCCGTCAGGGAATTGGCAACTTGGTGTTGAATAAGTGTTGGATTTTGAACCTCAGGATTCGCTGATTCTACGTAAGAGTTTCCCGCAATTCATAGTGCTCCGAGACGTGCGGTTTTACAGCAGACATCTACGAGATGCTTTCTTGAGCTAGGCAAAACGTTGCCGGCGTGCGTTGGACGACGGAAGGAAGTGTGCGTATTTAATGGAAAGGGGGCGCGGCCAGCCTACAATGCAAGGTTGCATAATTGGAAATATCAGCTGGAATATAAGTAGGTTCGATATTGCCTGCTACCCGGGCATCTTTCAGTTGATGACCCGGCGGCGTGGTTCGGGAAAATGTGGTGGGACTAATTAGGATGTGACGGGTCACGTGCTGTCGTGACACATGCCCGCTTTCCTGAACTTTTACTACGTACCTAGGTACCTAATTATCCGTATATCGTTTGAAATATGACAAGCCCAAGTTTGCTTGTGCAACGGAGAAACAAAGAGTAATTACTTTGTACCAGATTCACAATGGCCCAAGCGATAAGTCCCGAGACTGGCTATGACGTTGATGGCGACCCTACGAACGGAAACTCGTTGACGGAATCACGCCACGACAACCGCACCATCTCCTCCTTGCTGCGACCGGCTCAGTCGCGACTATCAAATTGTTCAGAATAATCAGCGCCCTCGCCCCTCACGCCCACAAACTCTCGATAAGGGTAATCCTCACGTCCAACGCCCAGCACTTCTTAGCCGGCCAGTCCGCCGAGCAGCCCCCTGTCTCCTCCCTCCTCTCCCTTCCCGGCGTAGAAGCCGTCTACGACGATAGCGCGGAATGGGGCCCGCAGCCGTGGCGTCGTGACGCCGATATCCTGCACATTTCCCTCCGGCGCTGGGCAGATATCCTCGTTATCGCACCCCTTTCCGCAAACACCCTAGCTAAGCTCGTCAATGGGCTCTGCGATAACCTGCTGACGTCGGTATGTCGGGCGTGGGATACCGATGGCCAGGTCGACGGGCAGCGTAAACGGATTGTGGTCGCACCCGCCATGAATACGGCCATGTGGCGGCACCCCGTGACGGCGAAGCTGATCCGGGTGCTGGAGGAGGACTGGGGCGTCAGGAGGGACGAGGAGACGGGAGAGGAGACAGGGTGGTTTGAGGTGCTGCCGCCGCAGGCGACAAAGGTGTTGGCGTGTGGGGACGTGGGGAGCGGCGCCATGATGGAGTGGACCGAGATTGTGAAGGTTATTGAGGACAGGTTGGGGTTGAGGGGCGATGAGGAAGGGACATGATGACTAGTGAAGGTCAGTTGCAAACAAATTCCTGCTCCGGTCGAATTGCCTACACGCGGATCAAATTGCAGTAAATTTATATTTATCTCCATTTATTCCCCTCGCCAAGCTGACCCTGACTAACCTAGATGGACAATAGGTATTCATTTTCGGCGACAAGAGGGGAGTGCCGTAGAAGTGCCTCCCGAATGGGGTCTCGTATCCCATATCCTCGGGCTAATTACGCACAAGACTAGCTGATACGCAAAGATCAAGCCGACCAGGCCGATATAATACTCTGCAACTGCTCATGGCGCACCAGCGCGTCCTCAAAAGTGGGATACTTAGTGGCATCCCCATCGGCATACGCCTCATACAGGGCCGCGACGCTCCGCGCGACGACGGGCAGCTCCTCCTGCCATGGCGCCCACTCCCACGGGACGCGCTCGACCTTGCCCGTGGCAAAGTCGTGCACGTCGACCGTCACGGGCTCCGAGTACGCGTTCGCGTGCAGCGACGTGCCGCCGGGGGCCACGAGGCGGATCTCGCCCCTCTCGCCGTGGACGGTCCACACCAGCGGCGGGTCCCCCGGGTACGGCTGGCCGCGGCGGAAGGTGATGGAGAGCGTCGCGCCCGGCTGCACCGTCTGCGAGGCCGCCAGCGTGCCCGTCACAATGATGAGGTCAGGCACGTCCGACTTGACCGTGCGGATGATGGTTCCGGTCTCGGGGTCGCGGATCTTGACGTCCGGCCGCTGTAGCTGCAGGCGGGATTGGATGTCCGTCACGTCGCCGACGGCGGACTGGACGAAGTCGAAGACTAGATAGTGATTAGCTTTGCAAGACCGCAAACTGAGATACCCCCGACAAGAACAACTCACGATGACCAAACCCAATAGTAAAAGGATTCCCCCCAACCTCCAGCCTCGTGAAATACTCCAGCCCAACAGGCAGCACATCCCTATCATTCGTGCCCCCCGCAGCCCTGACCTCAACGCTCTGCACCCTCCCCACCCGCCCCGACGCTACCACCTCAGCCAACTTCCTCACCACAGGCGCCAGCCTCCCCTGCACGCCCACAACAGTCCTCCCCCCTTTCTCCCGCGCAACCCGCACCAGCTCCGCCACGCCCGCCTCATCCCCGGCGAGCGGCCACTCGACAAACACGTCCGCGCCCGCCGCAACAGCCGGCCCGGCCGTCAGGAGATGCCTGTCGACGCGCGTGACGCACACCACCAGATCGACCTCGCGCGCCGCAGCAGCAGCAGCCAGCTCGTCGGGCGAGGCGTAGGCGCGGGGCTCGTTTTCGTTTCCGTCGCCGCCGCCGAGGCCGAAGGCGTCGATGGCGGCGCGCGCGTTGTCGGCGGTGGAGTTGAGCAGGCCGACGATGCGGAAGCGGGCGCGTCCGCGCGGCGAGAGGAGGTAGGGCAGGTGGGCGGCGCTGGCCCACGAGGTGGTCGCGTTGGCGGAGAGGCCGATTAGGGCAACGCGGATGGGGGACATTGTTTGGGGGGAGGGTGGTTCTTCTGCTTTTGTTGGTGTCACGATATGTCCTGAGGGTTGAAATTGTAGGTCTGGAATTGGTAATGCTGGTTGATTTTGATGGGGGTTTCTGTTGTTTTTGTGAGGATACGTGGGTTCTGTCTTGTATTCTAATGGTCGTGATCCTTCCCGTGTGAGTGAGGTGTCTATCTAGATTTATAAGCATCTAGTCTTGCGTGATTGCGTCCCACATACGCCATACCCGCCCACTACCCATGCCAGGTCCATCAAGGACGGCGTGATTTATCATCATGTTTCCACGATTAGATCCGTAGGTTGAACTCTCGTCAAAATTGTCTCCACGAACCGGCCATGGGCTTTTTTGTCGTCGAGTAGCATGAATTCGCTGGTCGCCTGGTAAGCCTTGGGATTGGCACTTTAGGCATGGTTGCGCTAGAACCAACATGGCATGCCTGGTTGGTCAGCCATCAAGAAGCCTCCCCCCCCGCTTGATCTCATATCCGATTACTGAGAGTCTCAAGGAAGACCTTCTCCTCCGGAGACAGGACTATGTGCGGAGCCATGATGACGAGCCCCTTGTGGATAGCAATATGCGGCAGCTCATTGTCCTCGTCCTCCGAAGCCACCCCCATCTGCCGTTCCAGGTCAGGCTTCGCCTCAATCATGTTCGGCGACTTGCCATCGAGGTGCTCCGGCGTCCACCAGTAGGACGGAAACCTCCTCTGGATGTTGTTTACGAGCAGGGCCGTGGCCAGCATGACGGCGCAGCCGAGCATCATGGAGGGGATGAGCATCCACCCGATGCCGACGGCGGAGCTGTCGACGACCGCCAGCAGGGCCGTGGCGCCGGCGGGCGGGTGGACGGTCTTGGTCAGCGCCATGACAATCGTGGCGCCGGCGCATGCTATCCCCCCGCCGAGCCAGCGGATTGAGTCGTAGTCGGGGTTCATGGCGAAGAGCTTGCTGACGCTGACGCCGACCGAGCTGGCGATGAGCTGGCTCAATATCATGTTCCTGGGCTGGGCAAGCGGGGATTCGATGGCATAGAACTCGAGAACGGCAGCAGCGCCCTGCGGGGTGGAAAATGGTAAGTAAAAGAGAGAGGCACACACATGGGGCAAGAAAAGGGAAAGGACCGTTTATGGATCCGGCGGTTGATCATTTGGGCCTGTTTGTCCCGGACGAACTTACAAAGCTCGCCACGATGAGAGTGTTGTTCTGTTCCATGGCGGGAATGCGACGGGATGCCAGCTCGATCAGGATGATGGAGCAGAAGATGCCGATGGCGGCCCAGAATATCATGACGATGTTGCCAATCTCCGGGAGCTTACCCTTCCGGTAACCCAGGAAGTGGGCGACGGGGTACGGCAAGTATCTCCATGGCGGTGCCGGGACAATCCTGTTCAGGGACTCGTCGATGTCGAAATGCCACGTCGAAGGGTTCGGCAGCCGCATTGAGGGAAACCGGCGATAGGTTGGCTGGATAGAGATTTCCGGGTTGCCGACATTCGCTATATCGGAGCGCCCCTGGCTCGCTGATGTGCCAACCATGCCAGACATATAGAGACCGGACGACGGCCCATTGACTCTTTAAATTAGGCTTTTCTCCGAGGGTGGATCTGTGCTACCAGGGAATATGTGCTAGCAGAGACTGCCAAGTGATCCTTGAAGGGGGAGCTAAGTCGGCAAGCGGCCAAAAGTGCTCGTCATTTTCTCCCATTTTTCACAATTCCGACATCAAGCCGGACCCGTTCCTCTAGTTATACGCTAGGTCCAAGCTTGGCTCCGCGGAAATGCAAATTTCTAGCTCCACATAGTCTCGGGATTGCGTGTTGGCTCGGTTCACTTTGGCACCTCCCGGAAAAACAATTTGCGTTGAGTCATTCCGTTGAAGCGGGATGACGATGGAATACGGCTCTGTAATGGCAAGAGAAATAGACGAAAATGGGAATGCGCCATCAAAAGCCAGCGGTAACACAAGAATCCGCGGAGACGGGGGGGGGGGTCCCTCCTTAATCAGCCACCGTCGGGACTGTACTACGGTACTTGTACCTGCGCTCACCCCCTCGCACATCGGGATCAGCGAATAGGGCAAGGCCCAAGGGAGGGCCAACCCGGACATTGTTCGGCATGTAGACTAGTACGTTTCCTGCCCTGACTGGACCCTGTTTCCCGTCCGAATGGTAAATATAATTAATCCACATTCCGCATTCCGCATTGCCGATGCCGAGCTTGTCTTTCTAGCGCCCGTCCCGTCTTGACAATGGTGGCACTCCGGAACTTCCGGAATATCGTCTATATATAAAGACATATCGCGCTGTCTGGAATTATCTCCAGATTTCTTTCTCACTGGCCCTGGCCAGCGGAGGCGCAGGTAACAAGCTGCGGCGGCGTGCCGAAATGGCAATTTTGGTCAACCACATCGTGACTTGCTCGTAATTACCCGCAACTATCGGCCTCGGAGTGGGTGTGTGTCAAGCCTGCGGGTCATGCATCATGATAGCGGTCATGAATCATGGTAGGAATTCCGAGGAAACGAAAAAAAATCCAGGATGACACCACCCACGGACCTTACTAGGGTGGCGAAGGTTGATGATGCTTGAGGCAGCCGTTTCTCCGGGGAGATCCGCAAGATTCCTACCGCACATATAATTATATGTACGCTGTATTACACGACAGCAACATACCAACAATTAGTAAAACCCTCCGAGGAGCAAGCCATTCAGGACCATTTGTACTCGGAGACCTGCACGCTGTAGGCACTCATTAACACCACCAAGCCTTGGGTGGCAGCCTCGTCTCCCGCAAAACTGGGTAGTTATAACTTACTCAAAAGGCACCCTCATATCCCCGAGTCTAGGTTCTAAGAGATTGGGGACACCCTCCCAGTCTTGAAGCTGTCTGAGATTATGTTCGGCGGGCTTCCAAGACCTTGTCTAGAATGTGAACGTCGATGGGGAGGATATGATTTGCAAGATTTGCCCTCGACATATTCGAAGACGCAATTGGCCGGCAGTTCGAGAGGTACCAGAAGATCGGGAAGGCGGATGTTAGAGACGACTTGAGGGTTCGCCAGTTGGAGGGTAAGAATATGACTCCCTCCCTAGATGTTTCCCAAGGTCAGATATCAGACTGTGAATATCTATTTCTGTGGCTTGGCCATCTCATCTCTCTGAAGCGAAGACTGGATTGACTTCATTGGCTCAACCCTGCAAAATGAACCCTACCAGCTGAATCTTTTTTGCAGCCACTTAATTGCGACCACATGTGTGAATTTGTTCGTGATTGGCCAGGGTATGGTCCCTTGAACCTTCAATTTTTTTGCAAGGCGCTTGGGTTGCAACGACCAGATTTTCCCTTTACTATCTATCACCATCGTTCGCATCCACACGCCGCGCAACCTTCATCTCGACACCATGAGCGTGGACCCCAAGGAAACCTTCCAGAATGGAATGAATCAGGTCTTCCCCCGCGAGAGCGATAATCCCGGCCCTGTTCCTCAGGCCAACGTCGTCTTCGTTCACGGGCTCTTCGGTCATCCCTGGAAGACATGGGCGGACAAGTCCGTCAGGGGTGCGAGCATCTTCTGGCCCGAGGACCTGTTGTCAAAGGCAGTGCAAGATGTTCGCATCTTCAGCTTCGGCTACGACGCAGACGTGGAACGCTTCATGTCGGCCGCAGGCCTAAACACCGTCCATGAGCATGGTAGAAATCTGCTGAACGACCTGTGTGATCTGATGGACCGGGATGTAAGTTGATATATGTTTGGCTGCTTGATCTGGGAATTGTGAGCTTATGTTTCATCCAGGCGCCAATTCCCTTCATGTTTATAGTTCACAGTCTGGGTGGACTCGTTCTGAAAGAGGTAACCCCCCTCCCCGTGTCTCATATTCCCTCGAGTGGGACACCATTTCGTTGACAGCTTCGAAGGCCTTGAATCAGTCATGTGGCACCCAAGACGAGCGACGTAGAAGAGTCGTCGAGTCGACCCACGGGATCATCTTTCTCGGCACTCCTCATAGAGGATCCAGTGTTGCCTCGTATGGCAAGATAGCATTCCAGCTGGCCAAAACGTTTGCCTTTCAGAGTGCAAATACGAAGCTGCTACAAACACTGGAAAAGAACTCGGAGACGCTGGATAGAATTACGACTGCTTTCTACGAAACTCTGGGGAAGCACAGAAGTCTCAGAATCGTGTCTTTCTTCGAGGAGAAAGAAACCAGAAAAGGAATATTCGGAACTAGAATCGTCCCGCCAGACTGTGCTCGTATTGGCCATGTTAATGAAGAATGGGGGGGGGATACCAGCGAATCATCGGCATATGGCCAAGTTCAAGTCAGATCAAGACACAGGCTTCAAGAAAGTCAGTAACATGGTCAAGAATTGGGTGGTTGCTATCGAAGATGAATCCACGAGTAGGTCAGGCCTGCGCCCTACGAGTCTGAGTTCAATGCTGATCGTCCCGTTTTCAGAGTTGGCGATGCAAGGGTACCAAGGTATGTTGCCACGAAGTTTTATCCAGTGCATGACGCTGGATATTGTTGGGTTGTCGGAGTTTTGTGTGGTGTGGGTTAATTATATACATACACTAACACGCCTCAGATTGCCTCGAAAGTCTGAATGATGCCGATGCTAGATCTAGGATCCACCAAGTTTCCCAAAGGCATAAGGATAGCTTCGAGTGGCTCTTCAGCGACAAAGTCCCTTTTACCAAGTGGCTCAGAGATGATGTGAATGAATTCAGCCCGATATTTTGGATCACCGGGAAGCCTGGCTCGGGAAGTCGACGCTGATGCGGTTCGCCATGCAAGATTCCCGGACTCTAAAATTGCTACCGAAGGGCAGAGGCGAGCCGGTGGCATACTTCTTCCATCTTCGTGGCAAGAGCATGGTCCAGAAGAGCTTAAAGGGCATGCTTTGCGAACTTCTCTACCAGCTTCTTCTGCAATTCCCAGCGATATACCCTGCGCTCGAACAATTCCATCGACAACTCGTCACCAAAACTCGGAATGTGAGACCTGATTGGGACATTGAGAGTCTCAAGGCAGGTCTACTATCGTTATCCCAGTTTGCGCCGCCACGGGGTGACAGAATCAGATTGGTGATGTTCATTGACGCTCTCGACGAGAACCACGATCAGTCAGATAACGAAGAGCTGCTCTCCTTCATCCGCGAGTTGGCAGCTACCGTCCATGGGACATCGAAGGTGTTGAAGGTCTGCCTCGCAAGTCGACCCTGGCCATTATTCCAAAAGAGACTCGGAGAAGACAGAAACATTCCAAAGTTTGCAATCCACAGCTTCACCCAAGATGACATTCGGCGTTACGCAAGCTCGAAACTATCCTTGGCGTTTTCTGAAGGAGATGTCGATACAACGTATGAACGACACCTGGAGAGCTGGACCAGAGCAGTTACCAACAAGGCCCATGGCGTCTTCATCTGGGTCCGGATCGTTGTGGACTTCTTACACCGCAACATCATCGACGGGACCCCGTACGACAAGCTCCAACTGTATCTGGACAGCCTCCCGGACGAGCTGAAGGATCTCTACGAGCAGACGATGCGCCGGATCCCACCAGACTACGCTCTGGAAACACTGGTTGCCTGTCGTATTCTGCTTGTCAGCCTTTCCCAGATTACCCTCCGAACCCTACACTGCGCCACGACGGCTTGCATAAATGCTTTCTACGAGAAGACCACCCACGACCGCGAGTTATCATGGCTACGCAGCCGCACAGGTGGCTTGGTCGAAATCATTGAAGGGGAAGTAGGAGACGGCAATAGTCCTGTTGTCCAGTTCATCCACCAGACGGCTCAGGAATTCGTCCAGAACGGAATGCCGGGCTTGTCCACGTCGAATATCAAGCCATTCTGGCTGAACCTGGACGGCAACTTCCTGGCCTACAGGGCAATCGCCACAGAACATCCCCCGTACGAACCACTGCGGGAACTTGCAGGCGATCTTTTCTCCTACCTCGAAGGGGTCGACGAGCTTCTCGATCATGACCCCAGTAGCAGACCATTGATGAAAGCCATAGAAAACAGCTTGGACCACGGGATAATGATGGGACGCTTTGTTGATATGGAACGGTCTAGCCCCCTAAGCCTGCTCTATCGCTCACAAATCGGAGTGGTTCATTTCGCTGACAACATGCTAATTTACATCAACCCAGCGAGTCGGGACTCATTTCGGCAAAGCATCAGCAAGATCAGGAAGATGAAGATCGACAACTCCCACAGAATCGCAGCAAGACAAGAGCAAATTTTGGAGACCGTCCTGTCTCCAGCTGTCGTGTGTGCAGCTTTGATCGTCCACGACATATATCATATACGGATTCCGATAACTTGGAACACTCGTGTGTCGCCTTATCTGCTACTTCTATCTACACTCGGTGAACGCTTCTCCTCTGGGAAGAGAACGGACCGTCCAAGAATGTTGCAGAACCTCTTTGACCTCGACTTTTACTTTCAAGACTTGTCGATAATCCCCTCGATGCTGCAAGAAGTCAATCCTATGCTTGGCCGACTTCATGCCATTGCAGCCAAGATAAAGGACTACAATCTGCTGCAGATTTTATTTATCATTGAAGATCATCCTTGGGTTTCCGAAGACGTTCGATTCAGGCTTGCAAAACTTATCATGGAGAGTGGCGCAATGGAGCGGCCAACACTAGAATTTGCCATTAGGTATAGAGCTGGAGCTGGGGAGGAGTGGGGTACCCTATCCCTCATGAGTTTCTGCGCAAGATTCAAAGACCCGAGATGGGCTCAGCTAGTTTGGAGTTTGGACAATCGCTCGACACTTCCCTGGCCAGATCACATTGCTCAGACAGCCGCGGTGGGAAGGCATGCTGAGACGGCAAGGGATATATACACCGAATCGGAGGAACCGTCGGATTCCGACAGAGGAGTCGGTTATGTTATCGGAGGACTAATGGGTGGGCTAGTAGGCTGTCCGGAGCTCTGGAAGGTCTGCTTTGATGGGTGCCTCCTGAGTGGTGGTCTGCTTGATGGGTACGCCTGGAGTGGGGCGGATTCAGATGGACAGAACTAGGAAGAGGCTCTCTCACGTTTCGTTCTGAGTTCGGCCAACGTGCATGCGGCATCTGAATGTTGCCGAGCTCGTCGATGAATGCTGGGAATCCGGCAAGAACGATTTGAACTTCAGTGGCACCAATTTTCCCTCTTGTTACCGCCGCTAACATGCAAGATAGCACGTTGCAACAACTCTTTCATAGACTAATTAGCACCTGACTGGAGTATACACCACGCGCTTATGATTAAAGGGCACAAAATCATCACTGTGTCAACGACCTGTCTCAAGACGCACTCATCAGCAGGCAAGATAGAGGGAGGTTGGAACAGGTGCAGCTTGCGAGCACCAGGAGCATTAGGCGGACTGAGTCATATCTGGGTGGGCAGGAATCTAGTCCCGGGAACTCGGGACCGCTCCAGGAGACACAAACCATAAAGACCCTAGACTTCGGCATGGCCTACGTTCTGATGCATTCAAAGGTGTCACACTAATTATTGGAAACCTACCTGGCAGAAAGGGTTCCCCTTTTGACATACAGCCTTATCATTTTATGTCTGATGGGTAGCTAAAGATTCATCGTTGTCGTTTCTGAGTCCACATATCCGTACTCCCTAGCCTGATAATTACCACCCACCTGCAGTGCCCCGCCAATCGAACTAATGATGTTGGGAAACCAGTCTACTAGCGTCGGAAGTCGGTTTTGTCGACTATTGCGGCGCAAGTCGAGCACGAATGCAGTCGCCATTGTGATGGTTGAAGGCGTAATACTGGCTTGACAACCCCGGATTCTCCTCAGTATTTAATCAGAAGACTGCCCCTCTAACTATTGCCTTACTACCATCTACTCCCGGGCACCCTAGCAACCTAAACGTACTCCAGAGGCTCTCGCATCTCGCCACAAGCATGGGTCGCTTTGAGAAGCTAGCAGGCAAAAAGATTGCCGTCGTCGGAGGCTCGTCCGGGTAAGTCGACGGAGCATGCGGCCTGCCCCCTGATCGGATGCAACAGGATTTGACACGTATCAAAGCATAGGATACGGTGCGGCGGAGATCCTTCTAGAAGCAGGAGCGCACGTAACCGTCATATCATCGTCCGAAGAGAGGGTCCGCGAAGCGGCCAAGCGGCTCGGCGGTCCAAACGTTGAGGGCAGAGTTGGTGACGTCCGAGATGAGGCTGCCTTTACGCAGTTGCTTGTCTCTCTCGCCCCGCTGGACCACCTCGTTTTCTCCGGGGTCGACAAGATCATCCGGGGGCCTCTCGCGGAAGCGGATCTGGACGAGGCGAAGCATCTATTTGGCGTCAAGTTCTGGGGGAGCTTAGTCGTCGCAAAGGGTGATGTCCAAGTTCCCAAATCGCGCGCTTGATTGACAACCCAAGGAACAGAGAGCTAATTGATATAATCGCCAAAGCCGTTGCAAAGCATGACATTATCAAACCGGGAGGCTCGCTTACATTGACATCCGGCGCGGCAGCCCTGCGGCCCCGGAAGGGGGCAACGATTGGCGGTGCGCTTAACGGTGGTCTCATTACTGCCACGCAGGCCCTGGCCGACGAGTTGGCCGACAAGAAGGTCAGGGTGAACACTGTCGTCCCCGGGTTGGTGAAGACGGAGCTATGGGACAAGCTCGGCCACACCAAGGAGAAGCAGGAGCAGATCTTTGAAGATGGGGCCAAGAACCTGAGCGTCGGATTTGTCGCGACCCCTGAGCATATCGCAGAGGCGTATCTATATGCGGTTCGGGCAGACTACGCAAACGGGACGACAATTGTGATCGGTTAGTATTATGCCCGAGTGCTGAGACAATAGCGTCCCCAAGCTAACCCTTCTCTCAGATGGTGGTGGAGTACTTCAATAAGCGTTTCCGAATAGATATGCCATGTCCCTTTTCCTGATTTCCTGACGGCGACCTTCAGCACAGCCGGGTGATTTATTATGTTGATTTGAATGTCCCGATAACGGACATGGCCAAGCCCCAAGTCCCTCCGGTTCCTCGCCGACTCCGAGGCGCCTCGGCTCTGTACCCTAAGTCCCTCCGGTTCCTCGCCGACTCCGAGGCGCTTCGGCGCTGTACCTGACGCTAATTAATAGTGGCGCGCTAGTGTGTGCTGATACGCAGTAAGCCTTCGTGCACAGACTACCTTGTTATGGGCCGCACTTGGTAATCGCCCCACAAGCTCCGTCCAATTGTTCAATTGCGTGCTACAAGCACAGGCCATCGCCTGGACTTACCAATCCACTTCATGGAAAACTGCTGAACAATCCAATCTAAATCAGTAATCCAACCTGCTTACACGTGTGCCGGTGGTGGGAGAACGCGTTTCAAACTCTAGAAAGATGTCCCGAGATAAGATAATTATCTTCAGTCAACTCCCGTTTTTGTATATAGAGGACTACATTCTCCCTCCTAAAACCATGTCGAGTTTCAATTCCAACTACATCAATCCCCAGTTACCTACTTCATTGTTCCTAGCTCTTTGGCTCGGTGAAGGCATTGACTTCTACAAGTCTCGCCCAGGATTTCCCATTATCAGCACACTGCAGAACCGATGGCGGAGAATCAACTTGAAACCGTGGTCACGTCCACAAGCACCCTTTCGGTCGGACAGGCGTCTGTCGCTGAGGCCACCCACAGCCACATCTGCACCTTACCTTCCCGACTGAGCCGAGCCCAGAGCCGAGCCGGGCGAGACCTGGAGAAAGAAGGCGCCGAGCCCTCTTCCGAGAGCGAAGACCCTGGCACGGAGGACGTCAGAACAATCACGGGCTTCAAGTGGCTACTTGTTCTCCTCGCGCTCTACTCAAGCGCCTTCCTGTACGGCCTCGATACCACCATCGCAGCAGACGTGCAGGGCGCCGTCGTTGAGACTTTCGGCCATGTCGACCAGCTAGCTTGGATGGGCGCCGGCTTCCCCATGGGATCCGTGGCTATCATCCTCCTCGTCGGGTCGCTCTACACCTCCTTCAACATGAAGTGGATCTTCGTCGCCAGCGTCCTTCTTTTCGAGATCGGCTCCGCAATCTGCGGCGCTGCTCCCAACATGCAGGCCTTGATTGTCGGACGCGTTATCGCCGGAGCTGGGGGTGCCGGCATCTACCTGGGTGCTCTCCACTACGTGTCCTCGCTAACGACCCGTGAGGAGCGAGGAAGATACATCAGCGCCATCGGCTTCTTCTGGGGTCTCGGCGCCGTCCTAGGGCCTGTTATCGGCGGCGCCTTCTCTGTCTCAGCTGCGACCTGGCGATGGGCCTTCTATATTAACCTGGTTGTGGGTGGGGTGACGGCGCCTGCTTACCTCTTCTATCTTCCGTCCCTTCATCCTATTCAGGGGGTTTCTATCCGAAGTCGCATTGCCAACCTTGACTTTGTCGGATTTGCCTTGAACATCGGCATATGGGTATCATTCACCCTGGCCTTCACCATGGCCGGCGGCCAATGGGGTTGGAACGATGGCCGCACCATCGCGACCATCGTCGTCTTTGTTGCCATACTGGCGCTCTATGCACTCCAGCAGTACTTCACTGTCTTCACAACCACAGAATCACGATCGTTTCCCGGTCATCTCCTGAAGTCACGCACCCAAATTCTACTCTACATTGCGACCTCTGCAAACATCACCTCGTTGTTCGTCGTCGTGTATTTCATCCCGATCTACTTCCAATTCGTCCACAACGACTCAGCGCTCATGGCCGCGGTGCGCCTCCTCCCCTTCGTCATCATCGCCGTGACCGTCAACCTCCTGGCCGGCCACCTGCTCTCCAAGATCCAGTACTACATGCCCATCTACCTCATCTCCGGCGCCTTCATCGTCCTCGGCGGGACGCTGTTGACCGTCTTCCTCGACCCCTCCACGCCACAGGGCCACATCTACGGCTACACGATCCTCATCGCCGTGGGCACCGGCCTGACCGTGCAGATCAGCTACGCAGTGGGCACCCTGACCGCCGCCGCCAAGGACATGGGCGACGTCATCTCGATGCAGAACGTCTCGCAGATCGGGAGCACCGTCATCGCGCTCGTCATCGCCGGCCAGATCTTCCAGTCCGAGGCCGTCAAGAACCTCCAGGCCGCGCTGTTCGGCTTGGGCTTCTCGGATGCAGAGATCCATGGCGCCGTCGCCGGCGCACAGAGCGAGCTCTTCGAGAAGCTTGGTGGGGAGCTGAGGGAGAAGGCCGTTTTGGCCATCTGCCAGGCGATGCAGAAGTCGTTTATCTTGCTGATCGTGTCTGGGGCGGTTTTGATTGTCGTCGGCGCTTTGATGAAGCGTGAGAGGCTGTTTGGCAAGGTTGTCGTTGCCTGAACTGAACGTTCGCTGAATATATCGAAGAAGCATTTACGGAGAGAGGTCAGCGGGAGAGCATGGTACTGAGCACGGCGCTACAGCGTGGGAACTTGATGGTTTGTAGAATCGGCTGGGATTAATCTAGAAGTGGTGTTCAAAATAGAGTCTTGCGGATGGATTAATAGAGCTATTAGAGGCTTTAGAGTTTCGTTTCTGCGTTTAATTATTAATTACTTAGACTAAGTTAATCATAACTTCAAACGACGCTCCCTTAGCTTACAACTGTGTGGGAAGTCTTGTTGATATTAGTGCATGGGTCTACATGGCCATCTACGTCTGGTGGGAAGAGGGTAGTGATCAAACCCATGAGCAATTAGAGAGCAGATAATAGGGCAGGAAAATTGGAGGCCGAGGTACAGATCGCCGTGAGGTCAAGGTGCATATGAATGTCTGAAAAGGCTGCCGAAGATTGAGAAAGGCGGACGCAACTTCACCCATCAAGGCCCCATTAAGTCCGCCGAATTATTTTCCGCCAATGGAGACAATTAGGGCTGTGCATGCCACGTATTGGAGTGATGGTTACTCGAGGGTAGTTTGATTCGTCTATTCAGCTGCATGGCGCTGGAAAGGGCCCTATCGGAAGAGACTGGTGGCAGAGGTGGGTGGGCTGAGCTGCGTTCCCAACCTTGGCGGACTGAAGGCAGATTCGTACCACAGCCGCATTTCCTTCCAACCTCATCTTTTAAGTAATTATCTTACCTTCCCCAATCAACAATTTCTATATCTTCTAACCCCTCTCGAGCGTCCACCTCGTCCTCATCATGTACCTGAGGTGGTCTGCAGAAACATGACGTCTACTGCATCGACTTCAACGCCACTGGCCGAGGAAACAGTCCAGCCAGGGCAACAATCCCCGACAGACAAGAACTTGATCGAATGGGTCAAGAGCCTCGGCTTAACCCCCGCTGCACAGACTGCAGTTCCAGATGAGCACCAAGTTCATGTTGAAGACCAGCAGGGTCTCGAACAGCCTCAACGAGTGACAGACTTTGGCCAGCGGACGCACGACTTCGAGAAGGAAGAAACGGCCTTAATCACGGGCTCTCAGTATGATCAAGTGATTAGTGGCGAGCTAGAGAGCGCCTGGATCTTGCATATGACCATGCGTTTCCAAAACTTCCCTGGGAGAGAGAAGTTCTTTATCACATACCGCGAAAAAGACACGCTATGGAGACGAGTGACCATCTTGATCGGCGGTCCAAACCCCCCAAAAGATTCCCTGGAAGAGAAAGTCTCAAACATGAAGTTTCAGAGCCACAGAAGCGCCGAAATCTACATGGCAATTAGAGGGAGCCTGTCAGATATTGGATTCTATGATACAGTGACGAGACTCAAATTGGAGACCGTCGGGGATAAGCTGTATATTCATGTCACTGAGGACATCAATGTAAGGCCAAGTACCACTCGGAAAATATGATTAGATAGTGACATGACTGACATTGGGCTGGCATGCTTTTAGGAAATACCTTCATATCCTTCCACCGAAGCAATTCACGACATTCCTTGTCGACGTGTCAACGAAGAGGGCATCCGAATTGACTCCCATTTAAGTACTTTTCTCTGGAACGTTCGAGTTGATGGCGAACTATTGGTTTTCAAGGAACTTCGAGACCCGGGCTCAGCCAATGAATTCCTCGACGAGATCAAGATCCTCGGCCAACTTCAGTTTCCTCGCCACGTCATTGAGCTCTACGGTGTAGTTGTCAACCCAAGCGGTGATACAATTAAGGGCTTGTTGATGCCGAACTGTGGAAGAGGCTCATTGGCCGATATGATCCACGACAATGATCATAGTCTTCCGTGGGCGAGGCGGGGAAAATGGGCGCGGCAGATTGTCTGCGGCCTCTCAGAGATTCACGAGGCTGGATTCACCCACGGCAGCTTGAGTCTTTCCCATGTTCTCATCGACGACGTGGATGAGATTAAACTGATACACCCTGGTGTGAGAGGACGATACGAGGAGGGCTGGTTGGCACCGGAGTTTCTGCCACCGATTCGGAATAACGACTTTCACCGAGTTTCTGGTCAAGAGGGTGTCGAATGGGATCTTTACCAGCTTGGGATGTTGCTCTGGGTGCTTGCGACACAAGATGATCAGCCAGAGAAACAGAAACGTCCTCTACGCTTCGGAGAATCTAGCGATGTTCCATTCTGGTATCGATACATGGTGGAAGCCTGTCTCAACGACCGCCCCAGCTTGCGGATACCTTCAGCCCAACTGCTATCTATGTTCCCCAGCGTCGTGGAGAATTTCGGTGACATCGATTCTGACAATGGTGTCATCAACACACTAACAGAAGTTGAGGTCGATTCTGAGAGCGACATGGACGATGATGTCTTCGATACCGCCTCCATCGCATCCATTGAAACATCGATCACGTCTGCTTCAGCATTCGAGCCTGTAACCAAACAAGCAACTGCTGCCTTCATCGACCTTCTATACACAACCATCGACTTCGGCGGCATGGCACGATCCGCCCTGGAGAGGGACTGTATTACCGCTGACCGCCTTCGGAACGGGATTCGCAGGCTTCTCAAATTGCTTTCACGCGACCTTTCTCTGCAACTCCAAAATCCTGGACATCGCGACGTGTGCAACTTCTTGATGTCCTTCTCCCGAGGGATATCTGCGAACGTCATGGACAAATCCGGGATGCCTCAAGCCACTCAACAGTCTCGCCCATCGAACAAACCAGCGGAAACGGCTAGAAAAACGCAGCGGCGACTAGAAAAAGTGGTCGAAATTTGGGATGACGAATCAGATGACTCTGACGAATCTGATGCCAAAGAGCCCATACGACCATTTGACATAACTGGCCTATTGGACCTAGTTGCGTCATCTCAGGCATTCCAAGTCTTTATCGCCAGTATACTTGACTTGGTCAATCCGACCTTAGAATCAAGGCTTCGGGTTCTTTCCCAAACGGTTGTAGGGAAAGAGTCGTCCGATGAGCTTCAGCAAGTGATATCGGAGTTACTTTACTCCCGCCCCCTGGACATCTCGATATCTGGGAATATACCCGTCTCGTGGCTCGATCTCGCGAAGCAGTTCATCGAGAATTACACTGGCCAAGAGTGGGACTGGAGCCCTTCATGCAATGCACGAAACACTTTGTCAAACCGACACTCAAGGCTATCATGGACATGTGTAAGTCTGCTCGCCGTCCAAGTCCAGATTGTAGATAATTACTTAACCTTCCCTAGATATGCGGCGAGACACGAAGTGCAGATATTCCACGGAAATTTGCCAACTCCATCATCAAGATCCGGCAACGAACTCTCCAGGCGACACCCAGTCGGCCAGGTCAGCCGAACAACAATAAACCATCTGCTTCTCCTCCTCACCCAGGATCCACTGCCTCACAAAGCAATTCCGGAACTTCACAGGCAGAAAAAACTGCCGCCGCTCGCTCTAAAATGTCCTATACGCCAGCTGCAAAGTTGCCACCAACACAAACGACCAATCCTGCTGTTGTTTCAATGCCACAGGACGAACGATACGTTCTTTTCATGGTGCCTACGGACAGACTTCAGCTCAGCGAGATCGAGGCACAAGGGCTGTGCAATGAAGAGCTTTTCAAGAGGATGAGAGAGGAATACTACCGAACCAAAGGCTGGTTCAGGAGATGGTTCGGCTTGATGAGATTTTCGCATTGCGAGTTCTACAAGGTTGGCTCATCCTTCCCTCCCTCCCCAGTCATGCATAGTCAAACCGTGGCCAAGAGATTCAGTAATTACTAACAGACATGTTTTAGTTCGAGGCATGGACAAAGAACCAATACTGCGAGCGCGGCCGCGGCATCCCACCAGGGGAAGATCAACAGTATTTCTACTTGCCGAAACCGATGGATCGCGAACCGCCAATCTCAGTGCACGAATTCCACGATAGATTCTACCAGAGAGTCAAGTTCGAGACGTGTCTGGCCGGAAAGGGTGCTTGCTGTACAGATCACGACGCGGTAGAGCGGATTCCGCAAAAGAAGGATCTTGGTAGTGTGGCAGCTGAGGGCCGGCCGCAGTTTTACGGCATCGTCGCGAGGGAGAAGAAATCGGCCCTGACAATGGTGGTTTACGTCCTGATTTCTTCAGTGCCCGGGACCATATTCTTCTTTCTTTGGCTGTTTAAATGGGGCCATGGTAACCTGCAAGATGCTTCGGTGCTTCTGATGCTGTCATTCTCTTTGCTGGGGCTACTATACGCCTCCCAGTTGTTCTGATGAGTTGTATGGCTCGCTGTCGTGGGACGATGCGAGAACATGTTTGTAGACTGCTAGAAGATGGTGAAGGTGTGGCAATTCGAATAGGAGGAGATGTGGCTGTTCTTAGATGGCGTGCTGGCTATTGATGCCGACCACCTGCCCATTTGCGTTAATTAGCGAGCTTGGCACACGCCCTTTAGATGTCAAATTGAGACATATGACTCTTCCCTTTAAACGCCCTGATAATGCAAATACTAACGACGATAACAACATGTCACTGTCTTTCATGACTTTTGGTTACTCTCAAACTGTGATTTATATTCTACTATAGCTGGCAGCTTGCATTTCTCTCCAGTTTTAAGCGTTGCTCTCCTTGCCCTCCTATAGTTTAATCACGCAAAACAGACGGAAATGATGAAACCTGCTTCGACAACTCCCACGGCCCTTCTCCTCATCGACATCCAGCAAGGGTTCAACCACCCAACGCACTGGGGAACAGAGAGGAGCACACCCGACTTTGAGGCCAACGTAGCCGCAATTCTCCAAGCAGCGCGAGCATACAACGCCGCCCAATCCCAGAGCGCGTCTCCCCAGCCCATCCTGATAATCCACACGCACCACCGCTCGCGATCGGCATCCTCACCCCTGAACCCGACCTACCGGCTCCCCGGCTCCGCCATCCCGGGCGTCGCGCCCATGGACTACGCCGCGCCCCTCCCCCCGGAGGCGGTACTGACCAAGAGCTTCAACTCGGCCTTTGTGGGCACCGATCTGGAGGCCCAGCTGCGCGCCTTCGGGGCCCGCCAGCTGGTCCTCGCGGGTCTGACCACGGAGCACTGCGTCAGCACGACGGCGCGGTTCGCGGCGAACCTGCAGGTGCTGGGCGGCGACGGCGGGGCGGACGGGAGCGGCGAGGGGACGAATGGCGTTATTGTGGTTGGGGATGCGACGGCGGCGTGGGCGAGGGGCGGGTTCGGTGCTGAGACGGTGCATGCTGTGCACTTGGTGGGACTGGATGGTGAGTTTGCTCAGGTGAGGAGGACGAGCGAGGTTATCGGGGCTGTGATGAACTTGGAGGGGTTATCCTGAAGGCGGGTGCTTGTCTAGTGTCAAGTGCTTTTCGGAATAGAAATACCCCAGCTTCCTTGATTATACTTCGCGGATATTTCCAGCTGGATGGGACTTAACTAGAGGATCGCTCCGCGCGCATAGGCAGTTTACCCCACACAGGAGGTCTAGACTCAGTTGCTGTTCGCCATAATTAACATCTCATTGTGGGAATGCCAGAGGATTGAAAAATTTGAATGAGGTACTGGAAGCATCTTTGTTATTGCAGGCTTGCCACATTTGTGACAAGTTCCTTGCTCTAAGGGGCTTTGCTATTCTACCTATGATGATGACCCGTCGCGTAGACTCTTGCTAGTAAGATGGAACAGGGGCGCTTACTAAGCGAAAAGGCCGCTATTATTATAGCAAGTTTCTTTACCTCGCGAACAACCATATGCCGTATGGCAGTTCGTGCGGGGAAACGGGAGGATGCCGAACCACCGAGCCGCTTATTGGATGGCAGAGCGAGGATAAATACTCATATCATAAGCCGATGAAACTCCCTCTAGGAGACAGCCAGGCAATTTTCTATGAATCCGAGGTGTCAAAACTAGAATATAGTAAACACGCAGAAAAATACTCTATTATTCTCTGAAACTCACTGCCTGTCATGGCTGCCAATGAGACAGTCACCCCACAATATCCCCCTCGCCTTCACAATGACGTCTACCCTTTTATCTACCCATCAAAATTCAAGGGATCGTTACAAGGCAAGGTGGCAATCATCACTGGTCAGTCACTCCCATCCTTCTAGGCCGCCCCTCGTTGGAGACTTCCCGTTCACTGGCCTGACACGGAAACTTACGAAAAGGCGCTGCCGGGACGATCGGTCAGGGTCTCGCCGAGTCATTCGCCGTAGCAGGCGCAACACTCGTCCTCGTATATAATCGTACGAAGCCGTCGGAAGCCCTTTTGGACCGGTGCAGAACTTTTGGCGCGAGCGCTATCAGCACCCTCCAGTGTAACGTTTCTCAGTTGGAAAACTGCGAGAAGCTTGTGCAACAAGTAATTAGTTTTCCGCCGCTGGCCATTCCGCGGGAGGGTTGCTTTATACATTATAATACTGACTATGAGGAAAGGTACTCGACTCTCAGGGGAAGGTTGACATTCTGGTCAATAACGCTGGTGCGAATGACTTGGGCCCGGTGCGTTCATAAGTTCCCCGAATTCGGCCCTTGGCCCGACACTGACCGCGACTCAAGCTCCATGAACAAACCCCTGAGAAGTTCATCCACGATATCGCCGTCAACTTTCACGGACCGTATTACCTGATGAGGCTGCTATTGCCGACCTTCAGGAAGCAGCGCAGTGGCTGCATCCTCAACATCGCCTCGCGCGCCGGCACGGTCGACATCCCGTACAGCACCAGCTACTGCGCCAGCAAGGCCGCCCTCATCAACCTGACTGGCTGCGTACAGAAGGAAGTCGACATCGACGGCTTTGACGACATTCACTTGTACTCGCTGCACCCTGGCGGTGTGAAATCCGAGATGACTCTAAACAGCACGTCTCCCCCCTTCCCCTCCCAGCCGTCTTCCACTTCTTTCAAGTCCACATCCCGAGCCCTGATCATGAAAAAAACTAAACTAACAACCCGTCCGCATCCGCCAGAATACTCAGAGCAATCGCTGCAGAAACTCCCCCCGTCCGTCGCAGCCGGGATGACGCGGTGGCTGGACATGTACAACGACTCGCCGCACCTGAACGGCATGGTCTGCGTGGCGCTCGCGGCGGGTGTCGCCAAGGAGGCGCTGAAGGGCAAGTACTTTGACGTCGGGCAGGACCTCGAGGACGTCGTCAACCAGGCCGCGGCCATCAGGGCCGACCCGGAGCTGTACTCGCTCCACACCAACTTCCTCGGCGGACTGTCTAACGGGAACCCGGTCGACAGGCCGAGTGATGAGCCGTTTGACTTCCCAGGCTTCTGATGTTTGTTTGCCTATGCCTGGGTCACTGGACCTATGCGAGAAAAGTCTAAGGCCCTCTAGCTATTTAACCATAGAAGAATACCAAATTATCAAAGTAGCCACTCGGTTGCACCTGCTATCCCCTAACGCTCACAACACCAGCATCCCTACGGCACCCAATTACCTCTACCTTCAGAGCTCGAAGCATTCGAGTTGCCACAGCGCCAGTTAATTCGTTCACCCGGGTGGCTCCGATTGAGTTTGGTATGACTGCACCAGTTTGGAGGTTTAGAGGTGGGAGCAGGGTGACACTAGCATCAACAGCCTGTCGATGTACGTTTGTTGCTCTTTTCTTCTCATTTCGCGCTCGAACCTCAATCACCGTCAGTCAATCCTCTATGCCGCGGGAGTCCGCAGCCGGTGACAAGCTGGGCGAGAAAATCCCCCAGCCCAATTCCTCCTGCCCTCGAAAATGGAGAGGCCAAGGGCAAGGTAGAACTGGGCCAGGCACCAGTTCCTGTGATACCCCCCCAGCCACCAGGGTATTTCCACCCTCAACGATGGTCACCATAACTCCGCCGGGAAAAGCCAGTCCTGTTCCAGCTTCTAAATTACCTCCCCATGGGAGGTCGATTGCTGCACAAGCGGGGCTGCTGATTCTTCCTCCAGCAAGGAGGACGCTGGTGCCGAGTGGGAGCTCGACAGTGGTGGGGAGGGAAGACAACCAAGAGCTTGCCATCTGGGAGGACAACGATGTGCCCAGCAGGGTGATGGTGCTGCCAGCAGGGGCTGTCTGTCGCTCTTGCTGCTTTCTGTTGCTCTTGCTGTCGCTGTCTATTGGTCCTGCTGTCGCTGTCTGTCGCTCTTTCCGTTTTTATTGCATCGCAATTGCCATTGCTGTCAGAGTCGCTGTCGCCTTAAAAACCACCTTGCTAACACATTGTTAAGCACAATGTGACTGAGGTTGTTGCGGAGCGCCTGTTCGGAAAGCCCAGCCACCAACTTGGTCAGAGCGCGGCGTCGAGGTGCCGGTTAGTCGTTAAGGTAATTGGCAACAGAACCAAAATGCAACCTAATTACCTGTCAGTGGCAGCCATGTTCAAAGACCTGGCGCAGCCATGTCCCTGACGGCGGCGGGTTGAGGCTCGGGAGTGCTTACGCACTCCCAAGCGAGATCGTCCTCCCCGGTGAGGGCACGATTACTATCCCGGATAACGCCACGATGATTGTCGGCCGCGCTGGCATCCTCCTGCCGGAGGATGTGATCCTGGGACACGGCGGCACCAACATTATCCCCACGGATATGGAACTGGGGGGACACCTCACCTTCCCGAACGTCAATGTTACCATGCCTAGGGCTCTCCGCCACCACGATGGCACCACCCGTCCAGCCGGGTTTGTCCAGATCGGCGGCGGCACCATCGAGGCGGGCTCGGCTTGGCTTGGCGGTATCCGCCTGTCTTCCGGCACACTTATCCCGGCGGCGACCGTCATCCCCGCGGGCACTGTGCTCCCTGCTGGCACCACCCTCCCGGGTGGCACTACTCTGCCACGTGGCACTGTCCTCCCTGCTGGCGTCAATCTCCCTGGTGGCACAGCCTACCCGCGAAGCATCTCACTCCCTCGGGGAGTCTAATAGCCCTCCTAGGAGGCATCAGGTGGCTGCAGTGGCAGCAAAGTTTTCGTCAGGCTGTGGTGGTTAAGCTGTTGGTTTCGCTTTTCGAGACAAAAAGTGCTGGGGTAGTCAGACTTTGAGTTTTGCTTTTTGAAATGCAAAGTTGGTGGGTTGGTTTGATCTGGACAGTTTCCTCCATGCTGCTGTGATGCTGTAATGCTATGCTGCTATGCTGCTATGCTAGGCTTCTTGTACCTATATTGTAGCTGCCACTGTCATTCCAGGACTGTGCTTGCCGCTAGCAATAGCAAGAGCGATAGAGAGCGACGACAAGAGCAATAGACA